GTGACCTTGCGTTGTTTCCATGTCAATTCTCACATTTGTTTGGTTGTGAGACGTAGTTTGGACAAAGTCGACATTGATTCTTCTTTGATTCTATGTTAAAGCCATGCAGTGTGAACTCTCCTGTCGCCGATCCATCCCACAGTGTAAACACAGCACCGACAGAACGCTAACCCAGATAGTCATGCAGTGTGAAAACATTCGAAATACGACTACTTTGAAAATCATTCAGTTTGAACTCGTCATTAAGAACTGAAAGTTATTTAAATTGAGTTCAGTCTAATTCACAAACAAATCGATCCACTCAGTTTTGTGATTCTAATGAATAAATGCTGCAGATGTATCAGAAAGTATGCATAAGCTAACTCTATTTTTCATCTCGATTCATTTTCTGTCCATCTTGACTCTCTTTTTGTCTCTTTGTTATTATTCACACGTCCACTTGTCATCTAGAGTGTTGTATTAGCATGCATTTCTATATGGTAATAGCACGGTTTAGTGCTGGGTGCTGGTATGGAGCGACTGTGATCAGTGTATAACCCTCTTTCTAACAGCTGGACTGATGCTCTGACTCACTGTATACATAACAGCCCATACATTCCTCCTTTGTCCACTTAAAGTGTTTTCCGGTTGGATTGTCCTGTCCTCGTCAGTCCTTGAAGCATGTTCAGCGCATACACACATGCACGCTCGCAGACTGACGTCAATAGTGCCTCATTCAGCTGAGCTGTAATGCTGGGTTTCTCTCCGAGTGACTGTACTGACTTCAGCGCTGACTGAAAGCATCATGCGTTTTCTCTCAGGCTCCAAAAAGACTTGCACAGCAGACCAATCAAAAATCTATTATAAAGCTCGCGTGGCCCGCACCGAATCAATGACATCATCTGTAGCTGGGCGAAAAGGTGCCTGAAGACAGGAAGTTGAAGAACGGCACGATTTGTGCTTGATGTCTTCATCGCCATGGAAACTGCACAAATCTATGAACGAGAGAGTAAGAGAAAGATTCAGAAAGACGTAAATGGTCGGGGAAAGGGGGAGCATAAAACACGATATGTTGTCATTTCTTGATCTTCATTTCACTTCATCCATCCCTTCTTCTTTCAGGCCCCCGTTCTATATGGGATCCCTCTGAAATGAGCAGAAACACGCGATTAATTATTCACACCAGAAATTCAATATATGGGGCTCGGTCAGACTGGCGTGACTTCTTATTTTGGAACAGGCTACTTTTAAAGATTGATACATTCTTGTAGGTTGTGCTTTGATATCAGTTTGTGTTGTGTTGTTTATCTTGTCTTCATGGCCCTCTTGTGAATCTTTGGTTAAATGTGTTATTTTAATGTGTGGTGATAATAGGAAAGGGAAGCCGTGCATATGCTATTAAAGGTGTCACTTAACTCCGTGGTGTATTTGAGGCTAGCACTTGTGTGAAATGTTACTGGAGGTGTTCGCAGTAGGAGACTATGAACTCTTACACATGCACTTTTGAAAGAACGGTTTGGTCCAGACTGCAGTGATGAAAGACTGGCAAACACAGGCTCTTCTAAAAGCTCTCTCTCTCTCTCTCTCTCTCTCTCTCTCTCTCTCTCTCTCTCTCCCTCTGTCTGTCTATCTGTCTGTCTGTTTGTCTGTCTCTATAAATACAGCTACAGGTATGAAAAGATTTAGGGACCACTTCAGATTTTCATTTTGAGAATTGATTGAGTTAAATGATAATACAATTTGTTCTTATAGATCTCACAACAAGATTTAAGTAAAAATATGGTCATTTACAGCATTTTAGGTTATTGAATTTAAACTTACAGAGCCATTAAATGTCAAATTTCATCACAAGCTAGACAGCAAATGTAACTTATTCTGAATAGTCTTCCAAGAACAATGAGTACTGCAGTGAGTGAAGTTGATTGGATGTTTTAAAGGGCACCTATAATGAAAATCATCTTTTGGAAGCTGTTTGTACAGAACTGTGTGTAGGTATAGTGTGTCCACAGTTGTTTTCATATTGGGGTGATATAATCAGTTAAACTCTGCTGCTATTTTGGGATTTCCGCCTGGATTTTGCCGACCCAAATTTAAAAGCTTCCCAAATCCATATGCAGAGGTGTAAATGCTAAAAGTGGTATAATTTTAAGGAAAATCCTTTGAATTTTCATAAAACACTATTGAAAGTCGTTAAAATAACTGTATATGTTGTCTGTGTTACAATGCACCTAAAAAAAAGATTTTTTTTTAATAAACTCAAATTTGAAAGTGTATCTTTTACAGCAGGTTCTGTGTGGTCTAGGTTGCTGTAATTAATTTTGGTGGTTCCTGCACATGTATGTAATCATAGGAAAAAAAGAAAAATGTCTCTACCATAATCTTTGCAAAAGTTATTCCAACTGATGAGAGGTGCTGTAAAAGCCACAGAGATCGATCATTGTTTTCATATTTCACTATTCTTTTGTTTGATCAAACATAATTCACTGTGTTTGGACCACATCAGACATATAAAAGGATTACTTATGCACATCACCTCAAAAACAGAGGAGAAATGGCCCTGAAGCGCACAGCAAAAAGTTAGAGATGACAGCTGTCTGTGCTATCTGGAGCTGCCTATTGATCATAAAAGTGTTGTTTTTTACTTCTGCGCCATGGAGACACCACAGTTCATGCGATAACTGTTTAATATGTGAATATAATTTAGTGAATAGAATGCTAGAACCATATGAGCACCGGCAAGAGCTTTCATTTGAGCTATTACTTGTCAGATATGAACCATACGAAAAATATGAAAATAACCATTGTTCAATACCCAGCTTGTACGAATTCATACGAATTAGCCACTAAATCAAAAATTTATGAATTGCCGTGAGATTGTGGTGGATTTTCTCCCTAACTGTTTGCATTCACAGACATGTCCAACTATGGATATGTCAGGTAAAAAGGACTAACTTATGTACTTAGAGTTTTAATCTTTTAATCTGTTCTAACCTTTCCAAGACGAGAAAGAACAATGCAACATGACCATGAGTGCACAATCAAAAATATACAAATTTTCTGTTTGATGAAGTAAAAATAACGTTCATTCCAATTCTGAAACTTAATGTTCAGTCCAGTCAGACGCAAAAAACACACACACTATCTCCGAACTTTTTGTCAGTCATAAAACATTTCACATCAGTGTTTTTTATAGATGTTTTGGCAATTCAGAGCCAGTACAAGTAAATAAAAAAAAATCCTGAAATCTGTCACAAAGCAGTTCATGACAAACGAAGTACACAAAATAAAGACAGAATGTGGCAGATGAAAACTTATTTATCACAGACATACACACTCTTTAATTTGCTGTTATACACCATATAAAATCCAGAAACTAAGCTTTTTTTGCACAGACCTATCTTAAAGGTTAATAATGCCAACTAATGATCAACGGTAAAAAACACAAATTTTACCAATTTCAAAATCACCAACAATCAAAAATGCACAATTATATGGTGTCATAGTTTCACAATCAAAAAAAAAGTTTTTTTTTTTTTTTTGATTGAGAGCACTTTTTGACAAAGTACACAAAATAAAGATAGAATGTGGCAGATGCATTTAAATGCCTAGTATGCACCTTTCCCAGGCTGCTGTTTAACAAGTGTGTGTATTTGTGTGTGTCCATATTCTGACTACTGCCAGACTCTGTTCAGGATTAGTTAATTCATAGAAATTTGTGTTTTGTGGCTTCAGTATTAAAAACAAAGCATTAAAATGCCACTGATTTCTTGAAATAAAGAATTTCGGCATAATCCTACTCAATTTTTTATAAGGAGGTGAACTATCCTTCTTCTTCGTGCAGTGTATTGGATGAACACAGTCTTTTATTTTCTTTTTTTTTTTTGAAGAAGAAGAAGAAGAAGAAGAAAGGAGAACAAAAGGATCCCTTCTTAAAATGACTAAGAATTACTTAGTGATTTCTTTCACTAAGGATTAATTATTACACATTGGTTAGTGTGATCAGTGTGCAAGGTTTCTAAGATTCTGATGATTTTTTAGGATATGAATACAACAAAAAAAATAGTAATATAGTAATATCTTAAACTTCAGTGGGCAAAGACTTCAAATAAGGCACAAGCTGTAAAGGGTCCACCCTCTTCTGCAAAGGGGGCGGGAAGAAGCAGCTCATTAACATTTAAAGATGCACACAAAAACAGTGTGTTTTAGCTTCCTCCCAAAAATAGAAATTTGCAACATGATGTAATACATGATGTGTGGGGCATTTCGAGCACCTTGTAATATAATAGAACTGAGATTGGGCCACAGCCATATCACCCTACAGCCCAAGACCCGTTACTTACTGAAGCTAAACAGGGCTGAGCCTGGTAAGTACCTGGATGGACGACCAAATGGGAAAACTAGGTTTCTCTTGAAAGTGGTGTTAGTGAGGCCAGCAGGGTGGTGCTCAACCTGTGGTCTTTGTGAGTCCTAATACCTCAGTTAAAGTGAAGGGGACACCATACTGTCAGTGGGCATGCACCATCTTTCGGATGAGATGTTAAACCGAGGGTCTGACTCTATGTGGTCATTTAAAATCCCATGGCACTTATTGTAAAAGGGTAGTAATGTAACCCCGGTGTCCTGGCCAAATTCTCTCCATTAGCCCTTACCCATCAGGGCCCTCCAGTCATACCCATCCACCGAAATTAATGTATCTCTGTCTCAACATTCCACCTAAAGGATACCTACTGTACCTTTAAAATAAAACCAAAAACAAAACAAGAATATACAGTTGGAGTCTGGATTATTAGCCCCTCTGAATTATTCACTCCCCTGTTTAATTTTTTCCCAATTTCTGTTTAACGGAGAGAAGATTTTTTCAACACCTTTCTAAACATAATAGTTGTAATAGTTCATTTCTAATACTGATTTATTTTATCTTTTAGAAAAAAAAAAAAACAATTTAAAGGGGGGCTAATAATTCTGAATTCAACTGTATATATAGTGATGACCTGATTTGACTCTTCTTCTTTTCCTTTTAGGTTTGTCAGATAACCCAACAGATCTGGAGAAGCGCAGACAGACATTTGGACAAAACTTTATTCCCCCGAAAAAGCCCAAGACCTTCCTTCAGTTGGTGTGGGAGGCATTACAAGACGTGACCCTCATCATCCTGGAGTTGGCAGCCATCATCTCCCTAGCCCTGTCCTTCTATCAGCCACCCGGAGAGGACAGTGAGGGTGAGAGGATAGGGGTGTTGGAGGGATGAGGTGTGTAGAGGAAGGGAGTTAAAGGGACGCTGTTTGTTGAGGGAATGATGGATCGAGAGTGGGAGGAAAGAGAGAGAGAGAGAGAGAGAGAGGACTGAATCAAGGGAGTGTGGGAGGAAAAAGGTGAGAATGAAGGTGAGAAAATGGAGTGAGAAAAGAGGATGTCAAGCAGCAATGCAGAAAAAGAGAAAACAGGAGGGAGGAGTTTAAAAACGCTGGGGAAAAATAAACAGGAGCTTTGAGTCAATGAGTTCTGAAAGTTTTAGGTGATGGTGGATTGAGTGCTGCGTAACTTACAGAAAACATCACTTTGCATTAGGAAGCAAGATACTAAACGATTGTTAAATACATTAACCCCAACAGGGGAATCAGATCTCTGAATGGGTCGTTTTTTCTTTATATATTAATATTCATACTGAATGAAACACCTAGTTATATATTTGCAGATAGATGACTATCTTCTGATTTAAAGACGACTCCTTTATTTTTCAGTTTTCTTGCTAACTACAGTAAAATTGTGAAATATAAAACAATCCAAACCTTTTCAGTTTATAAATATATTCAATTTCTGTGATTTCAAGGCTGAATTCTTAGTGCACTTTGATCCTTCAAAAACCATTTTAGTGATTATTTTATTACCAAATGATGATTTGTTGCCCAAAAAATTAAAGTAACGCTGATCAAAAATATTATTAAATTTATTAAATCTAAAGATTTTATCAAAAACATCTTTTTGTATCCTTTCATAGTGTGTTATGTTTAAGTTACAGTGCTCAGCATAATTGAGTACATCCCATTTTGAAAATGAATAATATAATGAATATTTTATCCATTTACTTAGTGAATATAGGCAATGTATTTTGGTGCATTTAAACTAAACAGATTTATTAAGCAGATTTATTTTTAAATTAATTTTTTAAATACCAAAAATATTTAGAAATTGAAAGATAATACAATTAAATTCAAGCAAAATTTAGCAAAAACAAATTACAACCTACAGCTATTTTTTTCTTCTCTTGATTTTTCCTTTTTTTTTATTTGTATTGAATAAGTTATGACATATACATTGGATGTACTAGTTTTTGGATCATTATTGTAAGAAGTTTTGTTAGATGAGCTCCAGGTTTGGCTTCAGAACTGACTTTAGTGTTTAAAATGTTTAAATGTTTATGCACAAATATAATATTGTACAGCTTCCTATTAAAATATTAATTTAAAAGATAGATTTGTAAAGGGGTGTACTTATATATGCAGAGCACTGTATATTTTATACGTTGGATTTGACATTTTGATCTTACTCTTCATATTCTAAGGACTGAATATAAGCACTTTCTAAAAAAACAATTTCTAAAAGTGGCCATAAAAAGCCTTAACTTTGAGGTCCAAGAATAGGATCTTCTTAACACCAGCAACAATGATATGTCCGCTGTTACAACAAAATCTTTTCGTCCAATACAGTCTGTGGGAAAGGTGCAGGAGGAGCCGAAGATGAAGGCGAGGCGGAGGCCGGATGGATTGAAGGCGCAGCCATCCTGTTATCTGTCATTTGTGTGGTGCTGGTGACGGCTTTCAATGACTGGAGCAAAGAGAAACAGTTTCGGGGTCTGCAGAGCCGCATAGAGCTGGAGCAGCGCTTTGCTGTGGTGCGCAATGGAAACGTCATTCAGATCCCCGTCGCTGAGATGGTGGTTGGGGACATGGCGCAGGTCAAATACGGTGAGTTTCCTGACTGTGAGTCGAGAGGAAGCAAATGAGCAGATTAAACTGAAATCATCTAATATGACTAAGGTGTGGATTACCATGGAGGTATTTTTAAAATAATGTTCACATTTCAACAAATCACAATGGAATCTCATTTGTTGATCATGTTCCCAGTGTATTATAGTATTATTGGTACTAATGCTCTTGGGGATATTAAGGATGCCATAGTGATCCTGGGATGTTTGCCCTACTTTCATTTGCATCGTCAGGTGACCTCTTACCTGCTGACGGGGTCTTGGTTCAGGGAAACGACCTAAAAATTGATGAAAGCTCTTTGACTGGTGAATCAGACCATGTGCGGAAGTCGGTTGAGAAGGACCCTATGCTTCTCTCTGGTAAGCATTCATGATTTTACTACAGCAGATTTAATGACATCAGCTTCTCAGCTGCCCTTAAAATATGATCTGCAAGGTTTGTGAGGTAATTTTGCCATGATTTTCATCAAACATGTTTAAAAATATATATTTTTTCTCATGTTTTCTGTTCCAATTAGGGCTGAATGATCTATTAAATCAAAGCTGTTATACAGATTAGTGTGATTATCTAATTTACAGTAAAGCCTTTCTGAGCTGACCATATGTATGAACATAAAGATGCACTTTAAAATGCACATTGTATACATTATAAAACATATTTGTTGATTAACAGTTTCTCATCTTTTGTGCTTCATGGATGTTTTCTCTTTAATTCAAAAGTCAAAAGTGACTTTTGTTGACATTTTCAGATTATGATATACATGTTCAGTTGAAGTCAAAATTGTCAGTCTTCCTGTGATTTGTTTCTTTTCTTTTTTAAATATTTCCCAAAAGATCAAGACATTTTTCACAGTATTTCCTTTACTATTTTTTCTTCTGGAGAAAGTTTTATTTGTTTTATTTTGGCTAGAATAAAAGCAGTATTTATTTTTTTAAACCATTTAAAGGTCAAAATTATTAGCCCCCTTATGCAATATTTTTTTTTACAAAAAACCATGCTTATACAATGACTTGCCTAATTACCCTAACTTCCATAATTACCTGATTAAACTAGTTGCGTCTTTAAATTTCACTTTAAGTTGTTAAAACTAGTATCTTGAAAGATATTTAGTAAAATGTTATGTAGTGTCATCATGGCAAAGATAAAAGAAATCAGTTCTTAGAAATTAAAACTATTATGTTTAGAAATGTGTTAGACAAATATACAGGGGGGCTAATAATTCTGACTTCAACTGTATATAGTATGCAGTACAGTATATATATATTGTTCTGAACTACTTAAATGCCAATGAAATCCACTTTGTTGAAGTTTTCATCTATTTTATTACTAAACATTAAAATCAATCAGAGCAGAGATCAAGGTCCCAAAATCAATCTCACAACATCATAAATGAACTAAAAACACAAATCACAAAATATGGAAAATGTTTAATGAATGGATATTTGTTTATACAGTGCATTTCTTATTTTCTAGCAATTTTAAAATAAAATATAACCTTTAACATCGCAAATTAATTTACCGTTGTATGATTTTTCAAAAAATAGTAATTATGTTTATTGGATTTTTATAATAATACTTACATAACAATACGTCTTCAAAAGACACGCAAAAAAAAAACAAAAAAAAAAAAAAAAACAAGGGAGAATGAAAGAAAAAAAAAACTACCCCAAAGGACTACCCCAAATAAAACAGATTAGAAAAATGGTCTTCAACATTGCTTGCTTTTTTAAGATATTGTATGGTTATTTTAATAATAAATAATTTTATTTTTTTATTATTACAATCTATGATGTTATAACAGTTTTAAATTTAATTAACTTAAATTAAAAATTTTAGTTCTAATAAAATCACAAAATAATGTTAAACAAAGTACACCATCATTATTGGTGTTTATCTGTCTGATGGATACAAATGTGTGTTTCATTTTAAAATGTTTAATAGATTGAACTATTTATTATGATCATTCATTTTCTTTTCGGCTTAGTCCCTTTATTAATCTGGTGTCGCCACAGCAGAATGAACCACCAACTTATCCAGCACGTTTTTACGCAGCGGATGCCCTTACAGCCGCAACCCATCTCTGGGAAGCACCCACACACACTCATTCACAAACACACACACTCATACACTATGGAAAATTTTGCCTACCCAATCCACCTGTACCGCATGTCTTTGGACTGTGGGGGAAACCAGAGCACCCAGAGGAAACCCAAGCGAACGCAGGGAGAACATGCAAACTCCACACAGAGGCTTGAACCACTGACCCAGCGACCTTCTTGCTGTGAGGCAACAGCACTACCTACTGCGCATCTGCGTCGCCCATTATTATTATTATTATCACTGTTGTTGTTATCATTATTCTTATTAATAAAAATAATAATAATTTTCCAGAGATGGGTTGAAGCTGGAAGGGCATCCGCTGCGTAAACATATGCTTGATAAGTTGGTGGTTCAATCCGCTGTGGTGACCCCAGATTAATAAATGCACTAAGCCTAAAAGAAAATGAATAAATGAACAATAATAATAACAAAAAACTTATAATAATAATAATAACAACAACAACAAATTCTCTTTACAGAATACAAGTATTGTTAATATTATTATTATTTCTAATATTATTATTAATAATAATAATGAATAATAATAATAATAATAATAATAATAAAAAATACTTGTATCCTGTGAAGTGAATTTGACTTTTGGATAACATTAATGGAAGATAGAAACAGTTTTTAAAAAGCCAATGTTTTTAAAGCAAAAGTACAGTGTGTGCTCAAAAATGCACTGAGGGTTATTGTGTGTTGGAGTGGATGCTAATTAGTTCACGGTGTAGTATTCATTCTTGGTGTCTTAATACTGGCAAAGACCTCAAAGTGCACTGAAGGTGATATGAAGGTGATAAAGTGCTAAGTAAATGCAGAGTTTAAATCTTGATGCCTGTCACTTTCCCTGCGACTGGTCAGTGTTTCTTTAAAGAGTGAGAGCTGCTTTAGTTATCTGCTCTGGGCTGTCCTTCATTCAGTGTGTCAGAATAAGTGAGATGCTGCAGTGGCATCCAGATGTTGTTAATTAGATCTGCAAGTCTCTGTTTCCTGCTGCGAGCACTGGTGTTTGCCCTCTCTCTTCCTCCATGCTATTCTTAGACAAACTCCATTGGCTTTATGAGGCTCTCCTGCTCTGCTGATGATATTAGCCAATAATTTCACAATGATGATTTGGGGAAGTTGATGTAGTGTATGGAAGCTGTCGTGTACGATTTGGTGTGCGTGTGTGTGTGTGTGTGTGTGTGTGTGTGTGTGTGTGTGTGTGTGTGTGTGTGTGTGTGTGTGTGTGTGTGTGTGAGAGAGAGAGATAGTGAACTGCAGCAGACTGGCTTGCGTGTGTGTTTGTTTGCAGATATCTACTAAATTTTGTAAGGAATTGTTAAAAAATGTGAAAAAAATCTATGTAAATATTAAATACTGCCATAATCATTTAGTAACACTCCATCTGTTTAGTCCGTTTAAAATGAAAATAAATAAACAAATGATTTTTTTTAAATTCTATATTTTATTAAAATAATTTATGAATAAGTAAATATAATTAAATATAAATAGGACTATAATAATAACATTATAATATTAATATTAATATTAATATTAATAATAATATTAATATTAATACTGATATTAATATTAATATTAATATTAATATTAATAATTATTATTGTTGTTGTTGTTATTATTTTTATTATTATTATTATTATTATGTTGATGATGATGATGATGATGATGATGATGATGATGATGATGATGATGATCATAATAATAATATTAAAGATTTATTGTAAATTGACCTTCAGTTTTAAAAAAAGTGCTGTAAATAAAATTATTATTAGAATTATGAAATTATATACAAATTTTGTAATGTTCTTGTAGAGCGAGCTTTAAAATGTTATATAAATGGGTTTTGTTGTTTTAACCCTTATGTGCTGTTGTGAGGATGTTTTTATCCACTGTGATTTGGATTTTGAGGGTAATTTTAAGTCTTAATTTGGCCAAAACATTTTCTGTGTTAGAGCTAGCAGAATAATTTTGGTGACGAATCTTAGTTTGAGAAAATTCTTTGAACTAAAAAAACCCTCAACAATACACTCTGGGCAAATTGACTACCCTTTTGTTATGATAAAGATGAAAACATCCACTGAATTAAACCGCTGTAAAACTGCATAAAATACTTGTTTTGACACAAAGTTATCTTCTTCTTCTTTTTTGGCCTTAGTCCCGTATGGTTGAAGGGTTTATCTCTTTGGAACAACTCCTCCATTTACACTTGTCCATATGATAACGACTTTTTTTTTTTACACATTCTGGCCGGCCTGTCGTCTGGGCCTGTCCCCCTCATACACTCATACTCTACGGGCAATTTTGCCTACCCAATTCCCCTGTAGCATTTCTTTGGACTGTGGGGGAAACCGGAGCACCCGGAGGAACCCATGCAAACGCAGAGAGAACATGCAAACTCCTCACAGAAATGCAGAGGTTCGAACCAGCAACCCCGCGATCTTCTTGCTGTGAGGCGACAGCACTACCTACTGCACCACTGCTTCGCCCTTTTGTCACAAAGTTATGACACCATATAATCATGCATCTTTGATTGTTGGTGGTTTCCCTGTTGGGAGGAGGTCAAATTTGTAATTTTTTACTGTTGATAATCAGTTGACATCATTAACACTTTAGATAGGCCTGTGCAAAATAGCTGGTCTCTGGATTCTATATGGTGTATAACAGCAAATTATAGTGTGTGTCTGTGAGTGTGTGAGAGTGTGAGAGTGACCTTTGCGCACTTACCTTGATGGGCCTGAGAAAATCAAAATATGCATCTCAGCTCTCAGAACTACATGGAGTAACCAAAAACAAAGACTGTGTATTTATGCACCATCAAATGTGGTCATAATGGAAATCAATTGAACAAAAACAGCCACAAACAGTAAAATAGGGATTTTTTTTAATATTAAAAAGACGTAATTTAGTGTTTTTTTCACGACATTTTCTATGCAATTTAGTAGTTTTGATCAGTACTGAGGTTTATTAAAAGATTTATGCAAAAAATGTGTGATGCATTTTATCAGCAGTTTAATTCAGTTTTCATCCCAAACATAACTAAAGGGTAGTCAATTTGAACAGTGTACAAGGGCTAATAAAAATTCATTATTTCCCGCTATTTAAAAAAGCTATGTAAAATAGATATTATTATCGTTATTAATTTTTTTAATGTTTTTATTATTATACAGCAGCAACAATTCATTCATTCATTTTTTTTTTCTTTTCGGCTTAGTCCCTTAATTAATCTGGGGTTGCCACAGCGGCATGAACCGCCAACTTATCCAGCTGGAAAGGCTTCTGCTGCGTAAAACATATGCTGAATAAGTTGGCGGTTCATTCTGCTGTAGCGACCTCAGATTTATAAAGGGACTAAACCGAAAAGAAAATGAATGAGCATTGTTATATGCATTTTTAAAAATGCTTTACAAAAAGCTTATGTTTGATTTTAACAGTTTAATTTTTATTATTTTTATTAATTTAAATATTATATTTTTGTTATTCTTGTTCCAATTCTTATTATTTGTGTCTGTTCACCTCAATGTACTTAGCCCTTGTGCACTGTTCAAATTGACTACCCTTTTGTTTTGTTAGAGATGAAAACATCCACTGAATTAAACTGCTGTAAAATGGCATCAACATATATATATATATATATATATATATATATATATATTTTTTTTTTTTTTGTTTTTTTTGTTTTTTTGTTTTGTTTTTCCCTTTTTTTTCCTTTTTTTTTTGCATAAGTCTGTTAATCAGCCTTAGTTCTGATCAAAACAACTAAATTGCTTAGAAAATGACAGGATTTTTACTCTTTAATTGGCAAGTCGTTTAATTGGATGCTGTTCACATGTCCAAAACGTTTATAAAAGGTAAAAAATAAAAATAAAAATTCGTCCACAGTCCACAATTACTGTTTATATTTTGTGTGTTTTTCTCACCAAATCTTTGCAATTAATTAGTTGAAATCCTGTAATTTTCTAAACAATTTAGTAGTTTTAATCGGGACTGAGGTTGATCAACAGATTTATGCAAAAACAAAAATATATATATTTATGTGATGCATTTCTACAGCAGTCTATTTAGTGGATGTTTCAATCCCGAACATAAAAAAAGGTTAGTCAATTTGCCCAGAGTGTATCGTTGAGTTCATTTTCTCAAAATATGTGTCAAAATAAGAGTTGTCACCAAAAATCATTTACTAGCTGAAGCACAGAAAAAGTTATGGCCAAATTAAGACACAAAATCACCACAGAGTGGATGAAAACATCCCCAACAGCACATGAGGGTTTGTTATATCTACTGACATAAATCTAAAACACTTGATTTATTCTTACATATAGTTCACCACATGACTTTTGCAAATTTTGGAGTGTCTATTTAGGCTAAATGCAAATAGCGCACCTCATTGGAATAAGCTTATTGAGTGATTCCCGCCCATCACCGTTTCATTAAGCGAGACAACATAAATAAAGAGCACAACACGCAGCAGGTTCATGGCTCATAAAGCGCATGGCAACTTTTGGCGGGATTATGAACCCGGTTCGAATCCAGCATCTGATGAACTCATTTTTCTTTTCCCTCCACTACATATCAGATTTTGCCTACTCTTCATCATGAGGAAGACAAGTAGGAATCATCAATAAGTGTGTGTATTATGGAAGACTCACATTCATAGAACTGGATTCCAAATATCCAAATCATATGCATTATAAGTGCGTAGACGTCATACATTAAAAATACCCTTAAATATACATTTTTGTACTGCTTCAGTGAAATTAAACAAGTATATTAAAATTCATTCATTTTCACTAGTTTTTTTAGTATTGGTATTAGTAAGTGTGCTTTAAATGCTTTAAAAATTAGTTAAATCTAATTTAATAAATGTAGACAAATATATGTACTGTATATCATTTACTTTAAAAATGCGGGCAATATATTATAGATTAATTTTATTCTAAAAAATACTATGTTATTCTTATTTTTTTTATTTAACAATAGGGGTGCAACTAGATAGGGGGCCTACAAGACATTGTGCCCAGGGGCCTCTGAATTCTTAATCCGGGCCTGTCTCTGTCTCTCTCATTCCCTCTCTTTATCAGGTACTCATGTGATGGAGGGTTCGGGAAGGATGCTGGTGACTGCGGTAGGAGTGAACTCTCAGAGCGGCATCATATTCACTCTACTGGGAGCTGGAGAAGGAGAAGAGGAGAAGAAAGAGAAGAAAGGTAGGTGTAAAAAGCCAAAGCATCAAACACCAACCAAAACGCGCACACTCACAGACAAAACAAGCGCAGAGGCTGATGTAGGACGAGCTGAGAATGAGTAGCACTAGCAGACAGAGGAGAACGCCAAAGTGGAAGATCCTTACATAAGAGCGAAAGAGAAAGACACGGGCTTGATGTGAATGGAGGAGCAGAGGACTCAGAGCCTGCAGGAGGATTTATGAATGGTAGGACGAGCAGAGCTTCACCGCTGCAAACTTTATGGGCCGTGTCATGGCTAATTTAACCTGCAGCCAACAGAGAGAGGAGACTGGAGAGAGCGGGAACGGAGAAGGATTAGGAGTTATATTGGAGGAGGCTGATTAATTATTCAGAGAAAGAGAACGAACGAGAGCAACTGAGAGAGAGCAAAGGTTGGATGTGGGTGGATGAAGGATGAAGTGGTACTGGTACTGGCCCACTGAATCACTCCAGCCGCCTCACAAGCACAATTCAAATGTCTTTTTTTTGATCTCTTTTTAAAAATTATTTTTCTTTTTTTTCTGCTAATCTGCGATTGTAGATAAGTGTGTGCTTTTAGGGGAAAAAAGGGTTTTATGTAGTGTCCTCTTATGGACATTTGTGACTCTGGACCACAAAATGTCTAATGTTGCATGGGTATATTTAAAAAAATAAAGTAATTAATTAAAAAAAAAACATTATATGGATCGAAATGAGAAATTTTTAATGCCCAAAAGCATTAAAATACTAAGTAAAGATAATCTTTCATGAAGGTGTTTTGTAAATTTCCTGTTTTAAATATAGTAAAACATTAATAGTTAGTAATTATGCATTGCTAGCAGTTCATTTAGTCAACCTTAAAGGCAACTTTCTCAATATTTTGATTTCTTTTAACCCTCGGAGTCCAGATTTTCATCATATACAGTATCAATTGAAAGATTGTGCATTGGAATTGCAAGCAATGAATACTGTACATCTCAGTTTTAAAAAGTAGACACTTATGACTGTATTTTGTGGTCCAGGGTCACGTCAAGGACTGAAAATATTATCTATAAATCTTCTTGCGTTTTGCAAATGTTCATAATTATACAGAATTTGCTGTTATTGCTAAGTATGTGTAATGTGCAACAAATACACTGTAAAATGAAGTGTTATCAAATGCAGAAGTTACAAATTACATTTTTATTTTGCCAACTTTTTGTTAAATATTACACAAATATAAAGGGATAGTATATACAGTACTCCGCATATATAAGCACACCCTGTCACAAATCTATCTTTTAATTTCTTATTTTAATATGAAGCTGTACAATATTATATTTGTGCATACATTAGATTAGTCAGTATTGAAGCCAAATCTGGAGCTTATCTAACAAAATAACCTATGAAACGGTTCAAAAACTAGAACATCCAAATTTATATGATTGAGAAAAATATTCAATTCAAATTTAAAAAAGAAAAAACAGGGGTAATAATTCAGGGGGGCTAAAAATTCTGACTTCAACTCTATATACACTACAGGTTGAAAGTTTGGAGTCAGTTTTATTTCTTCTTTTTTAAAGAACATTATTGTTATAATATTATTCTGTTCATCAAGGTGGCATTTATTAAATGTAAAAAAAAATTCATTGTTAAATATTTATTAACATTTTACATAACTGCTTTCTTATTGTATGTTTCAAAATGAATTATAACTTCAGTCATTATTGCTTTTATTACTATCATTAATAATAATAATAGTTAATAATTAATATTAGAGTGATTTCTGAAGAATCGTGTGACTGAAGACTGGAGTAATGACGCTGAAAATAAACTTTAAAATCACTGGAAAAAATATTAAATTAAACTATAAACTACTTATTTTATAGTGTAATAACATTTCACAATTGTACTGTTTGTACTGTATTTTTGATGAAATAAATGCAGCCTTGGTGAGCAGGAGAAGCTTATTTTAAAACATTTTAAATCCTACTGACCCCAACGGTAGTATGTACAGTATATATATTATTTATATCAATTAGAGCAAATTCACTTTAGTTGTGTGCTTTAATTTAATACTATATATACTACAAAATATTTGCATTTATCTTTACATTTTAAAAAAAATTATTTGGTGTTTTTAGCCTTTATTAAGATAAAACTCAAAATTTGAATGCCTGACGCGCATTGGCGTTATATTTTATCACAGTGTCCACTAGGCCATCGGCACCGTACTATGAGATTTTTAATTATCATTTTTTTAATGAACTAATTTCAAATGCTAATAAGACGCCATTCTCTCTATAAACAATTTAAGACCTTCAAATGCTTTTGAGCCTGCATGAAACTGAACATTTTGCCAATTACCAGTACATCCCATAAATCTTTCCTTAAAATGAGTCCCACTACATGAACTAGATTGCTAATTGACTAAATGAACTAGAGCACTGACACCGTTCAACTACTCACAAGCATTTTTTTTCACCAGTTCCCCTTAACACCACATGACAGTCATTGATTTCTCTTTCTTTCTTACTTCTACCACCACCCAATCCTAACAATTTCCCACAATCCCCCTCCTCCACACCTGCATTATCCCTTTGTTTCACTCTCCGTTCAGAGGACAGTAGTTACTCTCCTACAGCCACAGCCAAAGCGAGCGGCATCACCAATGGTATGTACATCACAGCGCTGATGTTGGAGGATTGAACACCTTCAACATCTCAGTCTGCGTTCAGACTGACGAGCTCACAATTGTGTATTTACTCACAGGTTGATCATGTGACCGTTTAAGAGCACAGTTCAGTGTGTGTGTGCCGTGAGTTTGTGTTTGTACGTCTGTGTCTGTAGTTGTGTGGGCACTTTCATTTTCCCACTCAAGAACACAGTGTGCTCTGTCTCTCATTCAGTCTCTGTCTGTCGCTTTTTATTCTCTTGTTCCCACTCTATCTCTCTATCTCTATCTTTCTCTTTCTTTCTTACTCTCTCTCTCTCTCTCTCTCTCTCTCTCTCTCTGTCTCTTTCTGTATCACAGGCAAGCAGCCAGAAGCAGCTGTGGAGACCAATCAGAATAAAGGTACCACAGGGACAGTGGAGTAGATGAATGGAGAGAATGAGGGGTTAATTATTTTCTTGTTGTGGGAGATTTTTGTGGGCTCCTCATCCACGCTGTTGCTATATGAGGATAGCAACGAGAAATATGAGCGTTAATACCATGTATGCACACAGACACATATTAAAGAGGTGGAAACACACTCTTTGTGCTAGGATTGTTTAATGGTGAGATGTAAAAAAATGCATTTATATTTTTTACATTGTTTTTTGTCTTGTTTTACGGTACAAATATATAAGCCAGAGGTGTCAAATTCAGGTTCATTCTAAAACCACTGTCTTAATGTTCGATTTGAGGAATCGTTCATTTAAATATTCATTATAAATATTTTTTATTTCGTCTTTGTCAGTGCTTGATTACTTTTTATTGACATTTGTAATAGTTAATACATACATAAATTTAAAGTATTGGATGAGAAATGCTATATAGAGATATAGATATACTTACGGGTTTTGTAGCATAATTTACACACTCAGAAAAAAATGGTACAATGCTGTACAAAAGAAGACAATGTTGGTTCAATGTTGTACAAATCCTTGTCACTGGGGCAGTACCTTAGGGAGCAGAACTGTACCTTTGCAGTTTGTACCTTTAGGGACATGATTTGTATAATGGGAAACCAAAATGTACCTTTGGTTTTCAAAACCTGCAGATACAGTACTATATTGTACCTTAAGGTACAAATCTGATCCATGTAGGTACCACTACAAGACACTTTGTACCTTAACAGTGTCAAATGTGTTCCTTCAAGAACTATTTAAAGGCTTTTTACTATATCCAAAATGCTTAAATTTCAGTAAATATAAAGATTAAATACGTACATTTATTAAACAATGTTTTTTTAAAGTTACTTTTTGTGCACCTTTTCCATTTAAAATCAAGAATAAAAAATACTTTAACATGAATCAAAAGATCTATTTTTTGCAAAACATCTCACAACACTTCACAAAAATGTTACAGAAATACATTCTCCCATGTACAATATGAAACATTTCTTTCTCTATTCTTTACACAATACTTTTGTAATCACTTGAAAGTTAACTTCTTTTACTTAATTTTAAAATAGAAATAGAGTTATACAAATGTGTTGTAACGAGATATGCACAATATTTGATTAATTTTACAATACTAAAATGTCTGCATGAACACTTTGCTTATGCAAGACTTCTGCCAGCTCCACATGTGTAGCAGAAAGCAAACGTGCGGATATCAATAACTTAACTGTATTTATTAGAAAATGCTTACCAAATGATTATTAAAAATGCCTTAAATCTTTAGTTTACAATACCTTTAGATCTGTTTTACCAGTTGTATTGAATCATGGAACTTAACAATTCCAGTAATTCCCTTTCCAGTAATATTTATTTTTATAGATATTGCAAAAAAATAAATTGTCCAACACTTATGTACCTTTTTATGGGAACAATTGTGTATCTTCATTTTAATTGTTCCATAAAAGATACAGAACAGCATTATAAGAGGCATTTTCCAAAGGTACAAAACTGTTCCTTAAGGAACATTATTTGTACCACTGTGTACCTTTTTTTTCTGAGAGTGCATTACCAATCCAGACAATGTATTGTTTCAAGCTACTTGAAATGTCATTAAAAGTCACTTTATTAAACTTTTTTAATATTAAAAGTCATCAGAGCAGAGATCAAGGGCCTGTGATGAAATTCAAATACGAACATCATTCATTCATTTTCTTTTCGGCTTAGTACCTTTATTAATCTGGGGTCACCACCGCGAAATGAACCGCCAACTTATCCAGCATATGTTTTACGCAGTGGATTCCCTTCCAGCTGCAACCCATCAACGGGAAACACCCACACATTCTCATTCACACAAACACAAGGAGCCATTTTTGCAATCAAGCATTGTGTCTGAAATATAACTCACTCATCCAATGTCTTGCTTGTTGGACTGTTAAAATCAGTTCATTTGCGATCCATGATATCAAGAAAACAACATTTTGTGGGAGTGACATATAAAAAATGTAAAAAACTAACAATACACAGTAAATCTTTGCCTACCATACTTTGAATTACAATACATTTAACTGCATTCTAGAAGCAGGAATGTTTTATTATTATTTAAAAAATTATTTAATTATCATCAATTATTAATAATTCTTTAAATAATTGCAAATTTTCTTTCTTTCTTTCTTTTGTTCTGGATAAGTGTCAATCTCTTACAATATTGTTATTGAACTAAACTAAATCAACACTGAACTGAGTTGAGCTGCTTAATGACACTATATTGTCCTGGTACTATACATCTTTACAGCAGAAATTGAATTTGCCTTATTTTTGATGCTGTTATTATCCTGTTTATAACTATAAAGCTTCTTGGAATCAATTTCTTTTGTATAAAACTCTAAAAAAATAAGATGACTGGACATCAAGCATCATAGTTTATCATGCACAAAAGATAATTGCTTTAAAAGTAGCTTTTTAATTCTCTGAAAAACAATATATATATATATATATATATATATATATATATATATATATATATATATATATATATATATATATATATATATATATGCTTTTTTGTGCTTTCTTGTTTAGTTTTTTGCTTTGAAATTGGCAGACGTTTACTCCTTTTGTATAAAGTTCTAAAAAAATTAAGTTAACTGGACATAGTTTGCATTCAGCATCATTAAAATAAACATTTAGTGTATTGACATCAATCAATATAATTTAACATGCAAAAAAATTGCTTTAAAAGTAGCTTTTTATCTTTTATAAAGTGAAAAAATTTACTGTTTATTAAATAGTTATTTTTGCTGTCTTGTTTTGTTTTTTTACTAGAAATTGGCAGATGTTTTCTTTATCTAAGCGTAAAGTCACTATTAGTTTTTTCAGAAAAGATTTGTTAGTAATGCTATCTTGATTTTGCAATGTTTAGGTGTTTGAAATATTCAAATAGTTTTCTGCTGTGCATACATGATGATTGTTTCCGCTGTAGTACATTGTCACTGTAGCTTATTGTTTTTCTTCTATCGAAGGAAAGCACCCAAACACATTTCTCTGAATAATGCAAGCTCAGTAGAATTGGAGAGGGCCAATGCTCTGTGTTCCCTCTTTAACTGATGTCAGTGTTTATGCTGTGTGTCCACATTTGTTGTGCCTTCTTTTGTCTTGTGTCCAGTGTTTGTGTGTGTGTGCTCGCCACTGTGGAAATATCTGATGTGTGGCATGAAGGTATTCAGAGCTTTGAATGAGTGTCGTTCAAGATGCCTCTGAGTTGTGACACAACAGATTTGCAGTCCATATGTAGTGACGCTAGCTCATGTCCCGTCCACCAGCCAAAAAGCAGGATGGAGCCGTTGCGATGGAGATGCAGCCCCTGAAGAGCGCGGAGGGTGGAGAAGTGGAGGAGAGAGAGAAGAAGAAAGCCAACGTGCCCAAGAAGGAGAAATCTGTACTGCAGGGCAAACTCACCAAACTGGCTGTACAGATTGGCAAAGCAGGTGTGTTGGACTGCATGTGGACAATCATGAGCTGATGTCATATGAAAAGGCTAATTACAACATAAATAGTAACACATATAATAATAGAGGGCAGAATCATAAGAAGAAGAAGAAGCACACATTATTTTTTCAAAAGAAAACCCATGGCGATTTGAAAATGGTGGAGATGATGCATGTTAATGGCAGCTAGCTCTCTGCAACTCTCACATGGTTGCCCACTGAAGCTAAGCAGGGCTGTGCCCAGTCAATACTTGGATTGGAGACCACATGGGAAAGCTAGGTTGTTGACGGAAGTGGTATAAGTGAGGCCAGCAGGGGGCGCTTAACCTGCAGTCTGTGTGGGTCCTTATGCCTCAGTGTAGTGAAAGGGACTTTATACTCCTCAGTGAGTGCCATCTTTTGGATGAGACGTTAAACTGAGGTCCTGACCCTGTGTGGTCGTTTAAAATCCCAGAATGTCCGTCAAAAACCCCGGCATCCTGGCCAAATTTTCCCAATGGCCTCTGTCCATCATGGCCTCTTAACTATCCCCATATCATAATTGGCTTCATCACTCTCAAGTCTCCTCTTCACCGAGCAGCGTGGTTTGTGGTATGGCGCAATATGCTTATTTTGCGCAGCCGCCATTTTAGAACACGAAAGCGAGGATGTGGTGGGAAGAAAACCGGAAGTATATGATCAGCACTGTAAACATTGCAGCAACTAGCTGTGGACTACAAATCTCCAGCTGTTGTCCTGATTTCAAAGTGCAGATATGGTGTAAACATCACTTTAATATCATTCAGTTCATCACAAGTTTTATTTAAACAATTAAAAGCATATTAGGCATCAAACAAAATCACAATCTCTTCAAGAGTAATAAGCTCAAGTGTCCTAGACTTCAGCTCATGGCACCAGGTAAACACCATGACGACGCTTCCCTGTTTCAGCCTATGTAACCCAGTGTGCAATAAAACAATGCAGTCTTCTGTAGCACACCGTCGTCTTGTCTGTAATAGTGTTGTCCCGGTACTGACATTTTAAAAACTTCCATTTCCCGCTAACCTTTAAGCGTCGCCGAGCACGTTTATAAACACCACTGATTTGTCATAGCATTCACCAGTGATACACAGATTCTGGAGCGGTTTAAAGCCATGAAGATCAGTTGATTGCTCATCTGTGTTTGCACTCGGTAAACAGTGGTGAAGTACGGTGAACTGATGACCTTCACAGTCAATCACAGTCATTTCTGTTGAGCGCTGGTGAATATTATGGGTTAGCAGAAAATTTACTTCTTTATAAATTTGAGTACCGAAATTCAGTATCATGACAGGTCTAATATAGTGAAAGAATTAGTTTGTTAATTTGAGCTTGATATATGGCATCTAAAATGTGTGTTTGGGAAAGAAAATGTTAGCTAACCAGGGCTTTTTCCCTTAAATTAGCAGAAAATGTGGTCTGATATCCTTTTTTTGTTTTCACTATCCATTCAGAACAGACCTTCGGGTCACTCAGAAGGCGGAGAAATGATAAATTTGTGTCACTTTATTTTTGCTGATAAGATAAACAGCCAGGTACACAACGTTCCTATGTGACGATGAGGCGATACATCCGAGTTTCTTCCCACCGCAGCCTCACTTTCGCTCTTTAAAACGTCGGCCGCGTTAAAGCAGTCTATATGGCTGCCGTCGCGTCATCGAGGTGGATGCTGCACATGGGTGGAGGATAAGGAGATTCCCCCAAAAATGTGTAAAGCGTTTTGAGTGTCCTGAAAAGCGTTACATAAATGTAAGGAGTTAATTATTAATGTTGATAATGGTAATATTAATAACGATTATGGGGAGGTTTGTATATTAGTAAGATAACTACTACTAATAATAATAAGAAGAAGAATTTAAAAGGCTGCCTCTAAGTCCTCTGTGACCATGCAGACGTTTGACCCTGTCCATCCCACCTGATGTCATTAAAAATAATTTTATAAATAAAATTTAATGATCCTTCAAAAAACGGTTTGTCACCTTTAATAAATGTATAACTTTTATTAATTTTAATCATAGTGTGCAGATTGATTGCGCAGCCTATGTTAGCCACATCATTAAAGAATCCAAAAGCTGCATTCAGACAAAACATTTATCTGCAATAATATTCTAAATATTGTTGTGCTTGTTGTTTTCCATTGTAGGTCTTGTGATGTCAGCCATCACAGTTATCATCCTGGTGCTGTACTTTGTGATTGACACGTTTGTAGTGGGTAACATGACCTGGTTGCCCGAGTGTACGCCCATCTACGTGCAGTATTTTGTCAAATTCTTTATCATCGGTGTGACTGTGCTGGTAGTGGCTGTGCCTGAGGGTCTTCCCCTCGCTGTTACCATCTCTCTGGCCTATTCGGTTAAGGTAAGACAGAGACCCAAGTGCACTGTGTGCGTGATAGATAACAGATTACTGTTAACAGATTACATAAGCACATTTGAAAACAAACACTTTTTTTTAGATTATATAATATTTTTAGCTTGATTTGCTTTTGTAAACACTCTTTTCATCATCCAAATTTTTGTTTGTTGTTAATTTAGAAAATGATGAAGGACAATAATCTTGTGCGTCACTTGGATGCCTGTGAGACAATGGGCAATGCCACTGCCATCTGCTCCGACAAGACTGGCACCCTCACCACCAATCGCATGACTGTAGTGCAGTCTTACATAAACGACCAGCACTTCCGAGAGATCCCGGACCCCAGCCAGATCAGCCCCAACACGCTTGAGATGATCGTCAATGCCATTTCTATCAATTGCGCCTATACCTCCAAGATCATGGTGAGACACTGGATTATGTATGTGATTTAAAATAAAGCTAAACAATGAAGCTTATTTTGAAAAGTTGCTTAAAGGAACAGTTCAATCAAATACCTTCTGTAAATCATCATCTATTACTTCTTAAATAATTACATATTCTGAAGAATATCTATAACCAAATAGTTGACAGAAACCATTGAATCCCATTGCATTTGTTCCAACTGTCCAAGACTAGGCATTCATAAACTGGTTATTTACCAACATTCTTTGAAACATCTTCTTTTGTTTTCAGTAGAAACAGAAACAGCCTCACAGTTTAGGATTTTTTTTTTAAAGTGCACAGTTGCACTGGGTTGTCAAATAAAAATAGATCCAGTTCAGTTTTCTTTCCTCTGCGTCTCACGCGTCATTCCAATTCTCTTTCAGCCACCAGATGTGGAAGGTGGTCTGCCCAAGCAAGTTGGTAATAAGACCGAATGTGGTCTGCTGGGTTTCCTACTGGACTTGAAGAGAGACTACGCCCCTGTGAGAGAGCAGATCCCAGAGGAGAAGCTCTACAAAGTCTACACTTTCAACTCAGTACGCAAGTCCATGAGCACTGTGGTGCAGATGCCGGATGGAAGCTTCCGACTCTACAGCAAAGGAGCCTCTGAGATCGTTTTGAAAAAGTAAGTATGACAAGAACTAGGATGTTGTTTATCTGATTGGTTGTCCTTAGCTGTTTCAATCCAAAGTTGGGATTTTTATGTACACTACAGTACCTGACAAAAGGCTTGACGTCTGTCCCAGTTGTAAGAGCAACAAATAATAACTGGATTTCTAGCTGATCATTTGGAAAAGCGGCAAAAGTTAGATTTTTCCGATGAATTATCTGTTGAACTGAATCCCAATTATCACAAATACTGCAGAACGCCTATTGGACCCAAGATTCTCACAGAAATCAGTCAAGTTTCGTGAAGGAAAAATCATGGTTAGGGGTTTCATTCAGTATGGTGTGTGCGAAAGATCTGCAGAGTGGATGGCAACATTAAAAGCTTGAGGTGTCAAGGCATTTGTGCTGCCCATTACATTACAAACCCCAAGAGAGGGCAAATTCTTCAGCAGGATAGCGCTCCTTCTCATACTTCAGCCTCCACATCAAAGTTCCTGAAAGCAAAGAAGGTCAAGGTGTTCTAGGATTGGCTAACCCAGTCACCGGGCATGAACTTTATTGAGCATGTCTGGGGTAAAATGATGGAGGATGCATTGAAGATGAATCCAAATAATCTTGATGAACTCTGGGAGTCTTGCAAAAACGCTTTCTTTGACTTTATTAATGAGTTATTTGAGTCATTGCAGAGATGTATGGATGCAGTCCTCCAAGCTCATGGGAGTCATACACAATATTAATTCGTTTTCCACTGCATCATGACTTTATATTCTATTCTGTACATTATTTTCATTAAGTGACAAGACTGTCGTGATTATAAATGATTAAAAATCAAAGCATGATCATATTTTATTTTAGTAAAATAAGTGTAATCTAGAGGCCTTTGTCCTTCATATAAGCCACTTCTGATACCAAATGATCAACTAAAAGTCAAGTTATTATTTGTGTTCCTAAAACTTGGATAGGCGACATGTCAGGTAGTGTATAACAATTTTGTATGAAAAGCAGCATTGCCATCCCATGTGTTAAAAAATGTCACTTGCTTTGGAATTGGTGCAAATGGTCAGAGATAAAATTTGCTTTAACCAGGGAAACCACTGTAGCTCTACTAGTACATGATGCTACAAGTGTAAAAATTGCTGATGTGTAGTATTGGCTATGGAGGCAGACGTCTCATTGAAATTAACTTAATTATTTTGATAACAGAATTTGGCTCAAGTTAGGGCATCCACTCTTATGGCTAAACACAGACATCTAGCACGACTGCACTCACAGAAACGCAAATTCAATTCCTGCCTTTGCCGATCCCTCTGTAGCCCAGCTTTTCTGTCATATTTCTACTGTCCTATTTGCAAAACATGAAAATGCCAACAAAAGAGACTTTGGCTCAGGTATTTTATAGCAGCTAAAACTTACTTTGAGATGTTGTGCAATGAGATTTGTTCACTGGTAACTTGAGGCACATGGGTGTTTTGACCTTTGTATCAATACAATATCCCCCATTAAAATATTTATATATGTTAAGACTTCTCTGCTTCTACTTGTACCTTAGATGTTCCTCCATACTTGGTACCAATGGCGAAGCACGAAACTTTAGACCACGAGATCGGGATGAGATGGTGAAGAAAGTGATTGAGCCTATGGCATGCGAAGGCCTGCGAACAATCTGCATCGGTTATCGTGATCTTCCTGGCGACCCAGAGCCTGAGTGGGAGAATGAAGCTGAAATTGTCACTGATCTGACCTGCATTGCTGTCGTCGGGATTGAGGATCCTGTTCGACCAGAGGTATGTAATGAGAATGTGTAAGGCCCCAATATACAGGTGTGAGCTCATTTCAAACAAGTGCAGGGCAAATTAAGGATTGTTTGAATTTTTGGATTAGGAGTTTGAAACATCTTGCGAAAACAAATGATCCAGTTTGTCTGTAACTGGTAAACTTCTTTTAATTCCATTGGTCATGGCGATTAAGAAATAGGTACATAGATGTGACTCTGCTGTATTACTAAACAAGTGCTGTATTACTAAACAAGTGTGTAATGAAAGGCGATGTATAATTAAACATAACTTGACTAGTGTCCTAGATAGAAGAGTGTGCAAATGTATTCACAGATTCACCAAATCATTTCTTTAATGCAGTTTTCTTTTTTTTCTTTTCTTTTTTTTTTTTTGATGCTGTCATTTCTGTTGGAGATTTTTTTTGTTACTTAGTCGAAAGCATCCAGCCAGTGTTGGATAAGCTACTTTAGAAAGCTTTTAACTACTAATTATATAATTTAAAATGTTATTTGGGTTAATTCTTTTAATCACTATGTCTGAAAAGTAACTTGTTTACTCACTAAGGATTTGAAGTACTTAAATCACTACTAAAATCCCTATAAACCTCAACAACACAGACAAAAGACATCTTATCCCAGAATGTAAATAAAATGATGGTGTGTGCACATGCTGCGGCCTCTCTGTCTCTCGACAAAATGGTGTTTATGTGTTTTTATCTTGTATGTCGCAGTGTTATTGTACGTCTTTGTCGCATTTATCTGCCCTTAAGCGCGCATATAGTCATATAGTCAACATTTTTGCTCGACATCGGCAGATCCAAACTTTGCTGCACAACTCTGGTTAGCACTCCTTGCCATGTGCCCACATAATTGTATTATTTACAATGTTTACGTATATTTCAAAATTATATTATGTGTGAAATTGTATTTATTGTTATTTCTTTTTAAAATTCAACTTTTTGTATTAATATTATGCACTTAGGGTCTGAGAGTAACGCAATTTGCAATTCTTGTACATGTGGTTGGATTGATAATAACACTGACTTTGACTTTGAAAAGAAATTAAACACTTTTAATTTTTCATATTTGAGTGAAACATGGCTTTTAAACTATATAAAAATGTATTAGTTAAGCATTTTAATAAAAAAAAAAACCTTTAGATTACATACAGATGAAAAGACTATTATAATAAAGGATAATAATAATATAAACATTGTATGGATAAAAAAAAGAAATGTTTCTAAGCAATGACACATAATTCATATAATAATTTAATAATTAATTTCTGACCAAATTCATTGTTTTTTAGGAATGTGCATATATTAAATTTAATCTTCCTTAGAAAATAGGATTGGTCTGCAAAACATGTGAATAAAAAAATATATTATTAATAATAATAATACAGGGAAGCACAACGGTGCTCAGTAATCCCTTACTTTACGTTATCAATGAATAAATACCTAAAAACTGTAACTAGTTACTAGTAAATAATGATACCCACACTGCATGCAGCATACTGTATATATACATATTCACTATATATATATATATATATATATATATATATATATATATATATATATATATATATATACACGTTCAAAGAGTTGGCAGCATCTGAATGTTCACCAGCAGTAAAACGTTTTAAAGGGTACTTCAAACTTTATTTTACCCTTAACCATTGAAAATAAAGCATTTCTCTTCTCCTCCGGCAGGTCCCTGATGCCATTCGCAAGTGTCAGAGGGCAGGCATCACTGTGCGCATGGTCACCGGTGACAACATCAACACGGCACGAGCCATTGCTTCCAAGTGTGGCATCATTCAGCCTGGGGATGACTTTCTGTGCCTGGAGGGTAAAGACTTCAACCGGAGAATCAGAAATGAGAAAGGAGAGGTTTGTGAAAATTAAATCACAGACATCTCAGCACCGAACCAATATAGACTAAACTGAATCATTGATGTCCGTGCTTTGTGTACGTGTGTATGTGTGTGTGTGTGTGTGTGTGCTGTGTTACAGATTGAGCAGGAGAGGATTGATAAGATTTGGCCCAAGCTTAGAGTTCTTGCACGTTCGTCCCCCACTGACAAACACACTCTTGTAAAAGGTGAGGTTCTCTTTCTAGCTTTTCTAATCTTATCTTATAGCCTTTCTCTTTCTAATTGTACTTTACAGCACCATATATACAGTATTATTAGTTAATGTCATTTTTTTTCAGTTTTTAATACAAAATGTGTACAATTTTTAGTATTGCCTACAACGGGGTATATGCCGAGCTAGTGTGTTTCCCATACTCATAAACTTCCAGTGACCTGTTTTTTTTCCATTTTATACAATTCCTTTTACAGCATCGATGTTGTACTGCAATTCAAATACAATCAGTTAAACAGACTTTGGCATTCATTTAGTTGCTGAAGTGTAAAACTAGACAAAAAGCCGTTTACTCGCACGGGCCCGCCAGAATCGGCAGGCTAGCGCAGAAGCTCCATTGAATATACTGGGGTAAAATAAAGATTATAAAGATATGGCGGGAGGAAATGTAACTTAATGCAGTGCTTCTTTTACAGTCTGAGACCCACTTTATATTAGATATCACTCAGCCAGTGGAGATGGCTGATTTTTAAAGAAAATAGACCTTAAACGCACCGATTTTGCATTGGCATACAATTCACCGGAAACGATTTACCCAGGTTACTGGCAAATTAATAGTCCTATTAGCATGCTTCGGCATATACCCAACTGTGCACAATCTGGATCAAACACTTGGTAGACGTCTTAAGATCATGAGAAAAACATTTCTGTTAAAAGGTTTTTGGCTTGGAATGTTTTTGCAGAACATGTGATGTCCTGTAAAAACTGCAAATAGTTTAAAAGTTGCCAGATTGGTTTTCTTTTCACACTATACACATTTGGGGTATTATTTTGTGGTTGTTTTGTACATACTACTTGGTGGATTGGATCAATGACAGAGGGTAACATATAAATCGAGGTAAAGTTAGGTTTATATTTTGCGTATTCAAACATTTTAATCTTATTTTTTGAAGTATAATTAAATAAAAATATATAGCTTTTGCTAATAACATCTAGTTGGAAAACATAATGTGAGTAATATGTGCTGTTAGATCTGTGGTTGGCTAAATAAAACCTAATATCTTTATATAACCTTATATCCTTATATTGTTTACTATGCTACTTTAAATATTCCATGTTTGTATGACTTCAAAGCTTAAATAGCACTATTCAATTGACTGTGAGCAATGGTGTGCTTTGATAGTCACTGGCTGCTAATATAATTTCCCTATTTAGAGTTTGCAAAGAATACTTTTCTGAAATTATTTTAGGTAGGTGAAAGTCTGAATGTACAAACCTACTTTACCCCACTCATATAATACACATTTCAATAGGAAGAAAAGCAGCATCTCTGCTTAATTTACAATCTGTTACACAACCAAACTCACGCAATAGCAATACAGGAAATTGCATAATTACCCATGAGATTAAAATTCTTCCTGTTGAAGATGGTGCCCTAAATCCAAGATTTTGCGCACTGGTTTTGAGGGATAAAAGAAGAATATGAAAGAGATAATGGCTACTGCAGGTCTCTGACTCCTCCCCCTGAACTTTCCCTTGCCCTGTATCATGCTTTCTCATTGGCTGTAGGCTATTGACGATGTCATTTCCAGTCAAAACACATTTCACACTGCAGGACTCTGAGTCACAGACAAGTTCAGATCTTTGAAATGCTAAATATCTCACAGGCATCAGCTTTTTTCTCAGGTTGTGTGTTTGATAAAACACATCTACAGAGTCTGATAATCTTCTGGGTAGATTACATTGAAATCACAGATGAGTTACATAATGAAAATTGTAAGTAGAAACATTATCTAAATCAGTTGTTTTGGAATTAAACAGATACCAATCTGATAAACCAAATTATTATTGTTTCATAATATTATAGTTTTAATAATCGCTAAAAGCATATTTAATTAGTGTGGACTGGAGAAAAATATAGAGTAAATGCTATGCAGCATTAAACAAAATTAGCAGTCACAGATGAATAGCATAGGTTTTGTTTTGTGTGATAAAATGGTGGTAATATGTCAGTGAGAGTTGCAGAGAAATAGATGGATGTATATCTGAAGGAAGCTATGGTGTTTGGAAAAAAAGTTTTAATGAAAGTCCTTTTTGCGCATTAATGTATTTGCTCTTTAGGGTTTTGACTTTCAGCAGTAAAATTTCAGTTTAAACTAAACTGAACTTCAACTCTGAAAACTGGACTGACACTATTTACTAGAACTTCTTTGTTAAGTTGCTTTGACACAATCTACATTGTGCAAAAGCGCTACAGAAATAATTGAGTTTTTCAACTTTGCTTGGTAAACAGCTGTTTTTGACACTCTAAAAGCACCATCTAAAAGCAGATTTACTTTTTCATTCAGATGGTCTATTGCAGGGGTCACCAATCTCAGTCCTGGAGGGCCGGTGTCCCTGCAGGGTTTAGCTCCAACTTGCCCTAACACACCTGCCTGGATGTTTCAAGTATACCTACTAAGACATTGATTAGCTTGTTCAGGTGTGTTTGATTAGGGTTGGAGCTAAAATCTGCTGGACACCGGCCCTCCAGGAACAAGTTTGGTGAACCCTGGTCTATTGTTTTTGTTCAGACCACCGAATGTTTGATGTCTGTGTGAAATCTAAATTTATAATGTTAATTTGGCTATTGCACATTGATATTCTTTCAGCGAACAATTAATCCATGCTAAGTACTAAATCTAACTTTTGCATTTGGAGTGATGGCCCTTCTCTATTGATGTCAGTTTGACGGCTTCATCCACAATGTTCTTTACCATGCCCCTCTTACTGTGAGAGACTGATGCAGTAACATAAACCCCCACCTACCAACTCAATATTCTGTCTCAGTTGGAAGTACATCAAGTTACTGAAATAAAAGTCTCAGCTACTTCTGGTTCACACAGACTTTAAGAACAATCTAGAAGTTAGAGCAAGGTTTTATGTTACAAGTATTAAGTGAATATGAGCATATTGTGAATATATACTGTACAGTAAATAAATAAAGAGCTGTAGGGTACGGTAGTGGATGATGGGTCATTAAGGTTTTAATTAGGGGTCTACTGGAAAAAAGGTTTTTAAATCACTTATATAGATCTCCAGTAATGTATTTGTATTAAGGAAAACTAATAACTCTACATGATTTTATACCTTGCCTTATAATAACAGATTTTAGTTAGATTATGGTCATTGAGGGGTGCTCATATACCTGATAGCAATATACACTTATCGGCCACTTTATTAGGTAAACCTGTTTTACTGCCCGTTAACACAACTTTCTAATCAGCCAATCACATGGCAGCATTAAGGTTAAATGGTGTGGGGGATATTTTCTTGGTACACTTTGAGCCAAGTAGTACCAAATCTGTATCGTGTCAACACCATAGCCTACCTGAGTATTGTTGCTGACCATGTCCATCCCATTATGAGCACAGTGTGACCATCTTCTGATGACTACTTCCAGCAGGATAACGCATGATGTCACAAAGCGCGAATCATCTCAGACTGGTTTCTTGACCATGGCAATGAGTTCACTGTACTCAAATGGCCTCCACAGTCACCAGATGAAAATTCAATAGAGCACCTTTGATGTTGTGGAACGGGAGATTCGCACAGCCAACAAATCCACTGTATCAACTGTGTGATGCTATCATGTCAATATGGACCAAAATCTCTGAGGAATATTTCCAGTACCTTGCTGAATCTATCCCACAACAGATTAAGGCAGTTGTGAAGGCAAAAAGGGGTTCCAACCCGCTACTCGTAAGGTATACCTAATAAAGTGGCCAGTGAGTGTACTTTGCATGCTAAATATCATGGCCATTCTATATTGTGAAATTTAAAGCTAAACAGTACTAATCAAGATTTTTTTTCAGAAAGAAAAGGCTAAACAAACATTTGTGAAATTCAATAGGTTAAGAAAAATTTAATGCCCTTGTGTGAATAATTTTAATCATAAAACAAAAATTACTGCTAAAGTAAATAACTTTTTGAAACTAAAATCTCATTTTAAATGCTGCATTTTTAATATCTGATTATTTAATCCAGATTACATTAATTTAGTTAGTATCCATCTATGTACACAACATGATTTTCACCAATTTGCATCCAATTCAGTCCAATGCAACTGACTGGCTGCATTAGTGTATTTACAATGTAAATTTGACTCCAAGTAGGCTGTAGGCAATCAAAACATATCAGACTGATGTATTCATGTATAGCGTGGTGACAGTGGTTGAGTTCAATGACTGGTCAAGGTTATGCGCTGGCTGCTAATTGTTTGCTGGGTGATGATGTTGCTGTGTAGGCATCATTGACAGCACTGTGTTGGAGCAGAGACAGGTGGTGGCCGTAACCGGCGATGGGACCAATGACGGACCGGCTCTCAAGAAGGCAGATGTGGGCTTTGCTATGGTAAGCACATCTGACAAACACTTCCCTCTAATCTATTCATATATTCGTCCTTCCGCCCAAGAGGTAGTTAAGAGATGAGTAATGATGAGAGATGAATATTGATTTATTAGAAGCTCCACTTATATCATGTTCAGCCAACAAGAGTGTAAGATCTCTGATGAATAAAAGCCTCTTCTCTCCAACGAATCTGACTTTGATGCATGAATTGCCTGAATCTGGTTCTCTCTTGCCGTCTTCAGGGTATAGCAGGCACTGATGTAGCGAAAGAAGCCTCTGACATCATCCTGACCGATGATAACTTCTCCAGCATCGTGAAGGCTGTCATGTGGGGGAGAAATGTGTATGACAGCATCTCCAAGTTTCTGCAGTTTCAGCTTACTGTCAATGTAGTGGCCGTCATCGTAGCGTTCACCGGGGCCTGCATTACACAGGTAACACACACACACACACACACACACACACACACACACACACACACACACACACACACACACACACACACACACACACACACACACACACATATACACACACTCAGAGCAGTGAGACTTTAGTATTATTTTAGTATTGTGCTTATTGTAGCATTTTTAACCATTTGTATTAGCTATTCATTTGATTTTCTTATAGATTTTTTAAAAACTTTTTAGTTTTTAATGTAGTACCTATTAGTACCTATATTTATTTCAGGTTTTTTTTTAAGTTTTATGTACTATTTATAATTGGCTTTATTTCAGTCTTATTACACGTATTAATAGTTAGTTTTAGTTAACAGCAGGCACTTACACAAAGTTTAAAGAGATTACTTAAAAATGAAAATTTATTTAGTATTTACTTTCCCTCAAGTGGTTCCAAGCCTTTATAAAGTTTTTTGTTAAGTGTTTAAAATGATACTTTAAAGAAACCTGTAAACAAATTTAACGATTGACATCCATAGTATAAAAATCATTAACATCCTAAGGTTAAAAATCAAACACTATGAAAGTCAATTCTTACCAGTCAATGCTTACCAGTTTACAGCTTTCCACCCCCCTACCCCCTTGATTTTTCGTTAATTATAATTACGACAGTCTTGTCACTTAGCAGAAATAATGAACAGTATAGAATATACTGTAAAGTCATGATGCAGTGGAAAAAGAATTAATATTGTGTATGACTCCCATGAGCTTGGAGGACTGCATTTAAACATCTCTGCAATGACCCAAATAACTTATTAATAAAGTCATCTGGAATGGCAAAGAAAGCAATCTTGCAGGACTCCCAGAGTTTATCTAGATTCTTTGGATTTAGGATTCTTTAGGATTATTGCCTCCTCCTTCATCTTACTCCAGACATGCTTAATAATGTTCATGTTTGGTGGCTAGGCTAGCCAATCCTGGAGCACCTTGACTTTCTTTGCTTTCAGGAACTTTGATGTGAAGCTGAAGTATGAGAAGGAGTGCTATGCTGCTGAAAAATTAACTATCAATTTTACCTCAATCAGTTTCATTTGGGGTAAAATGATGATTACTAGAAAAAATGTCCCTAATTTTCCCCTAAAAGTGTCCATAATTTTCTTTAAAACAAAGTATAAAACTGAGGTGACAGTCAATTGTTCAGCGATGCACAAACAATGAGAATAACTTTTGTAGGATTAAAAATGTAGAAATGTGAAGTTTACATTAGTTTAAGGAGTTGGATTATTATTTTCAGTTAAAAGCTTTTCTTGTCATCATATAGTTATTTTAGATTTTTAGAGATCTATTTTTTTCTGGCAATGAAATTGTAAAATTTTATATAACTAAATAATTATGTTTACAGTAGTACCTCACGATAACTCAGATTTTTAATTATATTATCAAAAGGAGTTTAAAATTATGTAGATGGTTCCGATTAGGGCTGCACGATATTGGAAAAATCTGATGTTGCGATATTCTATTTTTCTGCGATAAATATTGTGATGAATACAGTTGCAGAAGATTGAATAGCACTATTAGATGGTTTTCTGGGGAGTCTAACAGCATTCAGGTAGAGAAATTGAACAACCACAATGCATAAGAAATGCTTTTCTTACTTTGTTGTCTCGTTTCTAGTCTAAATATCAAAGACATTCTTAGACCAAGAAAAAATATTGTTTAATTTTTACTGTCAGAAGAAATAGGTGATACTTTTTTTTGGTACTTTTTTATTAGGAATTTGTCTGCCAGTGGAGTAAGTGAAATAATCTCGTTTTCGCTTTGAAATGTAGATATTTGGACTAGCAACAAGAAAAACAATCTAAGTAAGAAATGTTTTTTTTTACATAAATCATATAAATTCCATATAATAACAGTGATTAAATACAATTCTTTGGGTCCTGGTCAACCATAATTCAGACTGGACATTACATATCTTTACGATGTGATTATTGTGAATGCGCACACTGCGATATCAATGCAGAATTAAAATATTGTGCAGCCCTAGTTCCGATGTTGCATTAAATCTGGAATAATGCTTTATTAGTTCACCTGCATCACTTCTGTAGGGTTCTGTAGCAGTTCAAGCTTAATTTATGATAATTACAATATTTTATGCCAAATTTTCAATGTTGATTTAAAAATAATAATAATAATAATAATAATAATAATAAGGGAAAGAAAGCAAGTTAGTGAGTCATAATTGTCATAATTGTCATAAATGTCACGTTTCAAAAATGACCCAAAAATGAAAATTTGCTTTTAATTTACTCACCCTCAGGTCTTCCGACATGTAGGTGACCTTTAATTTTTTACCAACCCTATTTAGAGTAAAAACAAACATAGAGTCAAGAAACATGTGAATACCTGTGGCTCTTGACAATACATAAAATGTCTATGCAACGTTATTTACAACATTACTTTTATTTACTGCATGAGGGTAAGTATTTTATCAAATCTTTATCAAATTTGAACTATCGCCTTAAAATTTTGTGTCCTGCTAAATCTAATTCTTGAATCAGTGTCAATTGTCTTAGCGTGTAGTGTTGCGGTAAGTGTGAAGCAGCCACTCCAGATCTCTGATAACTATGTGTCATGCAGGTTAGGAGAAAACTGACTGCATTGCACCTCTCAAGCTCACAGCAAACGACAGAGGTGATTAAACCGGTCACTGAGCCCTCTGCTGGAAAGTCCTGGAACTGCTTTCATTTTAAGAGTGTACTTTCATCTGTATGTAATCTGTGTGTGTTTGCAGGACTCTCCACTAAAAGCAGTGCAGATGTTGTGGGTCAATCTGATCATGGACACGTTTGCGTCTTTGGCTCTTGCCACCGAGCCGCCCACTGAAGCCCTTCTCCTTAGAAAACCTTACGGCCGAAACAACCCCCTCATCTCGCTTACAATGATGAAGAACATCCTGGGTCATGGAGTCTATCAGCTCGTCATCATCTTCACCCTGCTGTTTGTCGGTAGGGCAGAGAGTTCAGGAATCAATATTTGTTGATTTGCATTATTTATATGATGAATATCACACTTATAATGGGATGATGGGCACCTCAGACTTTTCATTACAGTCGCAGCTATGTTACTTTCATTATATTTAATTACAAATGAGAGCAATACTAGCATAAATAATTGATTTGATGGGAAAACAACCCAATTGGGAATGTGGTGTACAATGATCTTTGCATAAAAGGAATTTTACATCGCTTCTTGCAAGTTTTGTGTGAAATGGCTAGTGAGTGACACTAAAAGGCATGTTTAGTTTGCACAAAAGCAGATATTTATCATGTTGGTTCAGGCACATCTTAAGAAGGTTCTGAAATCAAATCAGTTAGTTTAGTTCAGCAACAGATAAAAGAAGAAGCAGGCATTAATAATTAATATGTTCACAGGACTTGTGTCTGTAACAGATTCATCCACCATTTTTAGAATTCAATTTTTTAAATCATTTGCATTTTTTTTGCAATTTTACTTTTTTAATGCACAAAAACAACAAAAATATTATATAAAATGAAAAAGCAGTTATCTGTTTTGCAAATAAATTCTTCAAGTGTTCTGCATTACAAACACATTGCTTTGCCAGATGATCAAAAAAGTTTATTATGATTAAAAAAATCATACAGTACATATGGTACATACAGATGTATGGTACTGTGCCGTACCTTTATGATGCAAACTTGCAAAGGTAAAAAATATGTTAGCTTGCAAATCATGGAGTGTGATGGAAGTATTTGTAGGTTATAACTAGCACACACGAAATCCGTGAGTGCAGAAATCTGCAGATTTTTAGCCCAACATTGAGTCCAGTGGTGTAATGTCACAAATACTCAAATCACTGAAATTGAGTAGTTTTTTTTGTCAGAAATTGTAATTTACTAAGTAGTTTTATAAATTTGTACTTTTACTTTCCCTTGAGAACATTTTATGTGCTGTATCTGTACTTTTACTCCACTACTTTCCTTCAACCTTCAGTCACTACTACCTATCAAATCACACATAGAAGCTAAATCGCATCATAATGAACTACCTCAAGACATGAGCTCTTTATAATTGCAGCAAACTGTTTTGAAGCATTAAAAGTGTCCGAGAAGATGTCGAAAATCTTCACACGCATTAACCCATATGTTTAGATGCATGTCACTGATGAGAAGATGACTGATGTTTACTGTATGATGACTGAAATGGCCTTAAACACCCAGCAGGCACAAGACGTCAACATGATGTCAGATTGACATTGTACCCAATGTCGTGGGGCTGTTGCATTTTGTTTGTAAATGAAAATTGGGAAAATTTTCGAACTCAACGTCAATGTCCAATGTCCAACATAAAACCAACCTTTTCCACCACTGATTGAGTCTATGTATTTACTTATATAAATGTGTGTCAATTAATATTTATTCAGTTTTTAAATTAATTTCACAAATATTATTTTCATACAATAATAGTAATATTAAAATGTTCATATGATTTGTTTACAATACAGTTTGTAAAGTAATACTTTCAGTCTTTGAGTAGACATATTATATAAGAGACTTGCTTTGTTTACCAAATAATTGGTTCTAATTGGACTTGCATTGTAAACACTAAATAAAAGTTTAAAATGTATTATACTTTATTGCATATATTAAGTTTTAGTTATAATACATCTGAAATCATTCCACATAAATCCGCAGATTTTTTACAAAATTGTCAGCAGTAATAGCAAAAATTGTCAGCAGATTCTGTCTGGCTATAGTGATAACATAATATTTTACTTTACTTATCTGCCCTGTCAGCAAAATGTTTATGAAATGTAACTGTTTTCTCCCTCTACACTGTAAAAAAATCCTAGTTGCCTTAAATGTTTAAGCTGAATCAAATTAACCTTTTGAGTCCATTAAACTAATATTATGTTAAACTGACTTAAAATAACTTGCGTTACTTATAGATTTAAGTTAGAACATGATTACATTTTAATAAGTTACAATAACCTAAAAACATATGCTGTCAGGACTAATTGATTCTATTTTTACAGTGTAGTCTTTATTTCCGCTAAAAGTGCCTGTGAATTGTATATGTAAGTGCATTTTTTGAGTTTTGTGAAAATGTTGATAGAGGAGCATTTTTTTATATATACATATGCCTGGATAGAAACAATGAATGTACACTGAATTCATATTTAAAAGTTTCACATCTTTAAATGTCTTAATCTCATTTGTCTTATAAAGGGGAGAAGATCTTCAACATTGACAGTGGTCGTTATGCCCAATTACACTCGCCCCCATCTGAACACTACACCATCATCTTCAACACCTTTGTCCTGATGCAGCTCTTCAACGAGATCAACGCGCGCAAGATTCATGGTGAAAGGAACGTGTTCGACGGCATCTTCGCAAACCCAATCTTCTGCAGCATTGTTCTAGGAACATTCGGAGTGCAGGTCAGAGATGCTGTTGGTTGTGTTTTGGGAACTATGAAGTAAGCAGAAATCATTCTGCATTTGAGCTTATGTGTTTGTTTATCTAATACTCTGCAAAACGTTTCTTAATCTGTATTGATTAGACTGCACTTTTGTATTAGAAAAAAATACTTTAAAAAATCGCATAAGATGTTAAGACATGAGCATTGCATTCATCACATCAGTTAAATGTGTATATATATATATTTTCCGCATTTTTAAAGGGGCCAATATACGCTTTTTTTTTTTACAATTTCAGCTTATTTTAGTGCATATTGTTGTAGTTTTAGCATGCAAAAAATCTGCAAAATTACAAAACACAAAGTCTCTCCAAGAGGAGTTATTGTGTATATAGGTAAGCATTGTTTCTCAACTTACAATCAACTGTAATGCAGATTTTAATATATCTCGAATTTAAACAATTCCTGTCAAAATGGATGTGGGTCTCCTATTGTAGAAACTGTTTTACAAACCTAATATGCTGATATATTTGCAGTTGTTTTTCCCTCAACTGTTCACATTCACAGAAACATACTCTATAATGAACAGCAAATGAACATTATGTGCCCATAAAGGATAAATCTAACAAATGGTATGAGGTTAATTCCCAGTAGAACTTTTTGTAGTGTAGACTGTTAAGGAGTTATTCACCTAAAAAGTTTAATTGTGTCATTATTTATTCTCAATAGAGATCCCAACCCCCTGAGACCTTTGTTCATTTTGGAAAACAAATTAAGATATTTTGGATGAAATCCGAGAGTTTTCTGACCCTCCACAGACAGCAACAGTCCTGAGAGACTCAAAGTCTAGAAACACTTGCGAGAACTCACTGAAATTATTTTATGGGGAGATAATTTACCATTGGAATAATGCTAACTTTGTCACATGAAGCTTGTTTTAGCCAATCATTTAACATCTTTTGGTTTCCATCCCTGTGTACTGCCATAGAGGCAGCAGTAGCATATGCTTTTTGGCTAATCAATATCCTTTGGCACTGTGCTCTGTATACATGTCACACTCGGTAGTGCTGCTGATGCATACTCTGGATGCGCAAGAGCTTTGTTTCAAACAGAATGTACAGTAGCATGCAGGCATTTGTGATGTATAATAGTCAACATTTGTTTTGATTTGTGGATCAAAACCTTTCATCTAAGTTGATTTAAAATATTGAACAACACCCATTCTGGTCTTAGGACAATGTTGAAAAACTTTTTTGATCCCCTTCAAAGTTGACTGCTACTTCAGTGCACAGTACTATTGTGAATGCGCCCCAGAACTGACACTCAAGAGAAGAAATTGCTATTATTTTTGTTTTATGTGCTCTTAAAAGAATTCTCCTAGCTTCATAACATTAAGATTGAACCCCTAATGTCACATGGACTGTTTTAATGATGCGTTTGGTACCAATTTGGGCTTTAAATATCTCACAAATGCTGCTATCTATAGAGGGTCAGAGAGCTCCTGGATTTAATTTAAAATATCTTAAATTGAGTTCTGAAGATGAGTAAAATCTCAGGGGATTTAAATGACATGAGGGTGAGTAATTATTCACAGATATTTTATTTTTGTTGAACTACTGTGTACCTTTAAGTTCAAACTGCTCTCCACAACTCATTCTAAAGATTTTCATTGGTCATGTCAAACGTACATTTGGCCTATGCTGAGTAAGCCGGTTGTTGACTGTGTTTGGCTGTTGATCTGTGTACAGGTTGTGATTGTGCAGTTTGGAGGAAAGCCCTTCAGCTGTGCCCCTCTCAATGTGGAGCAGTGGCTGTGGTGCCTCTTCGTGGGAGTTGGAGAACTGCTGTGGGGTCAGGTACAGTAGGAGACATAAAGAACGAAAATGGAGAACTACTATCAAAGACAAAAATCCAGTCATTACTTTTCACACAACAAAAGGAAAATTTAAAGAAGTAAAAGTTGAGCTTGTGCTCATTCTTCTAAAACGTCTCACAGAATGTGAGAATGTAACGTGCCGTGCCTGTACAGTATATTCCACGTTTTGGGAATACATTAGAACTAAGGAAAAACAAAGCAAATTTAAAGAGGGAATTACTTTTTTAATTTTTAATGTACTCTGAGGTCTACTTATTGACCAGATTTTGACATCACAGACATCATCATTTCTTGTTTTTAAACCTCTTTTGAAACATGAAGTTTTAGGTAGATAGGTAGGTTACTTAGTTTTGATGGGCATGCATTAAATACTCAATAATTGGGGATTGGGAATATACCAACAGGTACAAATGGGCTACAATTTAAATATAAAACTAATAGTTAGATAGATGTGGCATATTCTGGTAACAGTATACAGTTGTCAACCAAAATCAAACAAAGTGCTCAGAGGCAGTTTAAAAAATGTGTCTGTGGTCTTTGAGTAAGGAATTTATCAGTATAAACAGCAAAAAATAGTCCAAGGCACTTGGAAAATGTAGAAAAATATTAAAGAGCCCCTATTATACATTAAAAAGTGTCATATTTTGTTTTTGAGGGTCTCCAACAACAGTCTGATATGCATGCAAGGTCAAAAAGCACTTTCATTGTCTTATAATATGCATTTATTTTTACCAAATTATCCCAGCCACTCCCATATGATTAGTTCAGCAACTCATTTGTTCCCAAAGCCCTCCTTAGCACGACGTTAATCTGCGCTGATTGGACCGATGACAGCCTGTTGCGATTGGTTGGTTGTTGGTTGACTGCGTTCAGTGCAAGACGAAGTAAAACGCCCACCACGGCTTATCAACAATATCGAGGTAGTCAGAGTGCAGAGTGTATGTGAGCATACCTGCCAACATTCCTGTTTTTCCCGGGAGTCTCCCGTATTTCAGACCCATCTCCAGCCACCCACCCATTTTGTTTTTTATCCCAGAAAACTCCCATAATTTCAAACGAGGATGAGCTAATGATGGTGGCCATAGCAACGACAAAACTGATCCATGATCCACTGATACATGTACTGATAAATATCCTGTTGAGCTCTGACAAGTCCCTTACATCAATAGTCTTTTCTGATCCTTCTTTTAAAAAACGGCCAACGAATGCCCCATTGTAAGCATGTAGATTCCAGAAGCACTCAAACAGCATAAGGCTGGACTATAATGCTGAGGTATTTTTGCAAAAATAAACCTCAACCACTCACTCTTCACAGTTTCATCTTTGAGTTGAGAAAATACCTCTAACTATCCCTCACACTTTCAAAAATATCCCGCTGAGTGCAGCTACTGTTTGTGGGAGGGGCCCTAGGTTTGTGTGCAACAACTGGGCGGGGCTTAAGTTTTATATCGACATCATGCTGAAACGGCTAAAGACTCGCTATCAAGACGATTCATTTGAAGCACTATGAGATGAGTCGACTCTTTTATAAGTGAATCAATAGTTTTAAACAAGCAGCACTTTCAGATTTAAGCCTTATTGTGGAGGGTAGTAGCATCTGTGTGCAAGTCTAATATGAACTAAGGATAGCTGATGTTGTGCTGCATCTTCTTTTGTTTAAAGATACCTGTTTAGTTAACTAATGCCTTTAAAATCTGTTTGCTGATTGTACACACATGAACACATTAGTGCATTGAATGACTTTACGTGTTTGTGAGCTAAACTAGGTTTTTGTGAACTGAGCATTGTATCAGTTGATGAAATATGGTTATTTTTTGTAAATTTAAACAGTCCTATAAAACTTCCGTATTTTTACAGTTAATTCCTGGCAACCACTGCCGGTATTTTTTCGTAAATGAAACTGATTTTTTTAACAGTGTAAATAAATTAAAGCTAAATTATAAATGTTGTGTTGATTGAACCAAACAACATTACATTACCTTTATGTAACTAAATTAAGTTCACTCAAATAATTTTTTTTTCTTAAAGGTAACTTAACTCTATTACGTGGAACCTGTTGACATAAAAAAGTTATTTAAAGCCAACATATTATTTTTTGAGTGTATATAAGCTGGATATTTCACTTCACTTGGAGCTTTGTTACACACTACATGGAAGGTCATTCTCAAAAACCCATAACATGGGCACTTTAAAAAGCCTTTATTGACATAGATATTCTGTAAAACTGCACCTACACATTTTGGCAAACTTTTGCCTTCATCAGGGTCACAGTGAAGAGTCTTTTCAATATTTTTTTCCACATTTTTCGAGTGCATTGGACTGATTTATGCAGTACATACAGTAGCCAACATTTGAAGTGCTGTATAACTGCAGGTTAACTATGTATATATATATATATATATATATATATATATATATATATATATATATATATATATATATATATATATATATATATATATATATATATATATATATATATATATATATATATATATATATATATATATATATTAACTTTAACTGTTAAATTCTGTTAGAAACTAATAACCTTAACCTTTCACTATTTGATTGTAATGCAGTAATGTGCACCTGCTTTGAAACCATAATTATTGTGAAAAAGTGCTATACAATTAAACTTGAATTAAATTAAAGTGAATTAATTATCAAAATCTTTCAACATAGTTGTCCTAAAACAACACCAAATCATTTTTGTCAAATGTTTACTGCTGTAGATCATATAGCGTTTCAAATGTCTAACATGTAGCTGACAAAGCAATGGTGACACATGGTAAAAACATTGTTACTCACACTTGTGTGATGCAGCATTACTGTCAGACCAAATATAGTTCGCGCCTCATTATATCCAGTCTCTCTGAAAAGCCTGAGTTAACCTGACTTGTTTTTAAAATGAGTCTGCAGTAAAATGTATTATTTAGGAAACAATCCTGACCCTGGCCATTGGTCTTTGTAGATGTCTGTTGGATCATGAAAGTCTATTAATCTGGCACTCAGAATGATGACTTAATACTTATATTTGTAAGATCAATGCATAATCTAATAGCTTTAGAGGATTTCCTAATAAGCACAATTATTTATCCTACATAGTGTATGTATTCAAATGTTCCTAGTGAACTTTAAGAAAATATTGCATTTGTTACATGTAAATTTTTATTATTTTGGGTATATCTTGTTTTCTTTCATTAATTTGTATTATGTGATGCATCCAATTGTGAACATTCAAACGCAACTTGTCATATGCGTTTAATTTCAAACCAATGCACATTAATTGGAGTTAGGAATTAGGAGTCCTTGTTTTACTGCTATAACAGCTTGTGCTCTTCGGGGAAGGCTTTTTTCTACTAGATGTTGGAACATAGCTGTGTGAATTTGCTCCCATTAAGACACAAGAGCATCAGTGAGGTCAGACACTGATGTTGGGTAATGAGGTCTGGCTCATCCCAAATTCATCCCACGGGTGTTCGGTTGGGTTCAACTTCTTCCACACCAGAATCAGCAAAGCGTTTTATTGTTGGATGAGCTCTTTAGCTCTCATCCAACTGCAAATATTTATCCATAGATTTTATGCACCTGTCTTATAAATCGTTGAATCTAGAATTGACAGCCCCATTAAAACTTCTAAAAAAGATTTTTATTAGGAAGGTCGTCATGAACGGCCTTTATTTTTTTTGACAGATATTCTCAGCCACAGAGTCTTTGTTTAACCACTCAAAACCTATTAATTTGAGGTGATTTACTTGACCTGTCAATCATTCTGCATATTTGTGGGTTAGTCCAGAGAGCTGAGAGCTTGGTAGATCAAAACAGATCATGGAAGTTAAGCATCATGGAAATTCATAATTATTTTTCAGTCTGTTTTGAGAGAACAATTATTTTGCAATCACTACTTTTGTATATCTCAGGATTGTTTTAAAAAGAGTAGTTAAGTTGAATGGAAGTCCTAAAGTATAACAGTACTTTTCATTCAAATAGGTTTCTACATATTTGTTGCCCATACTTACATTCTGGAAATGAAGGGAATTTAAGAAAAAAGCTCCTCAGACTAGATAAGACAGTATTAAAGTTCTGTCAAATGTGAGCATTTACCACAAAATAAATCATATTTTTTAAAAAGAGATTATTAAAAGAGAGAGATTTATACATCACCTGAATAAATATTCAAGAGTGATCCTATTGCTCTATGGTTTGTAATGATATGACAATATTTGATTTAAAATATTCATTACGAGAGTTAAAAATAAAAAATAAAAATCTGTGGAAATCTCTTTTAAAGCTGTCTATAGCCACATTATTAATCTAAAATTAATTTTTTATGTATTTATGGTTGACAATTGATCAAATATCTTCCCTGAAACATGACATTTACTTAATATTCTAATATTATAAAAGAAAAATCTAGACTCTTGACCCATTCAATATTTAGCTATTGACTGGTTTTGTGGTCCAGGCTCTATGTTGTCTAAATAAAAAAATAAAACAAAAACCTAGTTGTTGCTAAAAGCTCATTTTACACATGCCATAAGTGCACATGATGAAATTCTATACAAAAAACAGTTATTGGTAACAGCTAATGTTGCAATTATATGCACTTAGAACTTATACACTCATCCCTAGTGTATAGTTTAGTGTCGTCTCAAATAAAAAAAGCTAATGTTTTTTTTTTGTTTTTTTTACTAACTGTAAATTCAGATTTCCAAGTCAACATTTAGCAGTTGCCAAATTAGTGCAATAAATTAACAAATAGTATCTGTCATAAGTACAACCGGATTCACCATTAGGAATCAGCATAATCATCTCCATTGAATACCTTTGCCAGCACAATACAAAATAAAGTAATCCAAACATAGCACCCATCAGCAACCATCTTTTTTATTGTATGAATAAATACATCATTTAAATCATTTAAAGTCCTTTATTTTTTTTAGAGTTTTCAGTATAAACGCAGTACTTGCACTATCTAAACTATAAAATGAACTATAAAACTATAAAAAAAAAACAATTGTGATTATGTTTGCAATTGGGTAAAATTTGGTTTCATTTAAAAATGACAGTAAAAAGAAAGAAAGGACAACAGTAATAATAACTAACAACAGCCATAATAATAATCACAAGTACTACACCAACTACTACAGAAAGTTAGTAATGTTACAACTACTACTGCTGCTACTACAGCCACAACCGCAACTAATACTACCACTAAGTCTACTACTACTACTGATACTATTACAGCGACTACTACTACTGATACTACTACAATGTCTACTACAACTGATGACAATGTCTACTACAACATCTAATACTACTACAGCAATGACTGCTACATCGACAATATCTACTACTTCTGATTCTACTACACCGACAATAACTATTACTACTACTACTACTACTACTACTACACATCTACTACTTGTGATACCACAATACCAACGACATCTACTACTACAGATACTACTACAACTACTACTTCAACAACCCCAACTACAACTACAATTGCTTCTACTACAATGACTACTAATACTACTACAGCAACCTGAATAATGATAATGGTAGAAATACTTGTAATAATGATAATGAGGAGATAACAGGCGATACCCCAGTATTTCAATGGAGTTCCTGTGCTCGTCTGCTACTCCTGACGGCATTTGCATTTAAACAGCTGTTCTTCTCGTTTTATGCCTGAACAACTAAATAAATGCTTAAGTCTTTTTAACTGATTATATTTTACAACATCAATGCAGTAAAAGGAACCTTAAGAAATTGAATATAGTCACAACAAACTTTAACCGTGAAGTTTATATTTTGAGGAAAGAACACTGCATATAGCCCATTTGTACATAAAAGTGAAAAATTAGGCCTAGTATAGGGGTAACCCTTGTTTACCCTCCATGTTGAGGGTCCTAAAAAGACTGTGTGATCAAACTTTACATAAGATGGATTGTTCTCTTTCTCTCAGGTGATCGCCACAGTGCCCACTAGTCACCTGAAGTGTCTGAAGGAAGCGGGCCACGGGCCAGGCACAGACGAGATGACGGAGGACGAGCTGGCTGAGGATGAAGAGGAGATTGACCACGCTGAGAGAGAGCTGCGCAGGGGGCAGATCCTCTGGTTTAGAGGCCTTAACCGTATCCAGACTCAGGTGCTGTGCATTCGACTGAATAATCCATCCCTCTGGTAGAACTAGTTGAAGTCACATAAAATGGTGTCCACAGACAGCAGAGCTGATGTCTCCTCAAAGAATGCTCTTTTGCTTTCGTTTTCTTCTTTCCCCGCTCTCTTTCTCTCTAGACCTTCTGTGAATCACCAACATTAGCTCATCCTTCCTTTTCTATTTCTTCTTCTCTTTCACTACTCTATCTCTGTCTCTGCTGCCCACTGTTGGGATGCTTCACTAAATGGGTATAGATTTCCCCCAACAAGAATCTATAGCATCCCCTCCTGTGCTCAAAGCTTTGTTTTGTCACTCTATTATGCAACTGGAGTGCTTTAAAGACCTAATTTATTGTTTAGTAACTCATTTGCTTCAGAGTCACAGCACAGAATCAGTCGCATCCTGGCGCGCTGCATGGGACTTCGCAATGATGCTCCTCAGACTTTAGAGAGTTGACGAGGATCTGAAGAGTGTTTTATTCTGGGCTTATACATATGTGAGCATATACAATATAAGGAATAGAACATGCACAGTTAAAAATTTGTGTATTTCTGTTTGTGAGTGAAAATTTTAAGGTTTTATTTTTTAAAAGTGACGTTTTGCTGTAAAACTCAACAGTCAACTTTATCTAATGAAATGAGTGTAGTTAACTCAACATTTACTGAAAGTTAATTCTACTTATTTAAAATGAGTTATGAACTCTGTGTTGAAGGTATTAAGTTAATCAAATACCTCATTACTTCAACTTAAGTGGAGTAAGTTCACAGTACTCATATAGATTCGTTTTTTACTCAAATCGTTTGTAGCAATCGGTTTCCTCAAATAGTTTGAGTTGCCTTAATTTATCGGGTTTTACAGTTTGAGTTCTCTTCATTTATTGGTTTTACTGTGCTCGCATTTCTCTGTTTACTTAAATGGATTAAGTTTACAGTACTTGTCAGGATTAGTTTTTGAATGGTTTATTGCAATCGGTTTCGTCAAACAGTTACCTTAACTTATTGGTTTTTAAAGTATAAATACTGTAAAAATGAACATATTTAGAAAAATTATTCAAATTTAAACTAATTATGTCCTATTTTATTATTGATCTTATTTATTTTTTTTCTTTTCAGCAGTTATCACTACAGCCTTCAGTAAGGAACAATCATTTAAAATCAGTATAATGTGCTGATTTGCTTCATGAGAAATATTTCTTTTTATTATCAATAGTGAAAACTCTGTGCTGCTTAATATCTTTGTGGAAACCATGATAAAAAAAATAGAATTCTTTGAAAAATAAAGCTTTCAGAAGAAAATTATTTATTTAATACAGCAAAATTTCTATTATTTAATTCCTTCTTGCTTAATAAAATTCTTAAAAGTGACTAAAACAAACATATTACTAACCCTTATAAATAGTAGTGTATCTGCTGGAAAATAAATATACAGTAATATTGTAATAACAGTTTTACCATTAATATGTGTCACTGAGGTCACACTAAGTTATTATACCCTTATTATAACAAAGTTCTATTAGTTAATGTTATTCAATGTATTTGCTAATATGAGATAGCAAAGAATGATTCTTGTACACTATTTTTAACCATAGCCATAGTTATAACCATATGTCAAACACAGTTTAACATTTCTTCACTTTGAAATAATAAGGTTTTATCTGCATTCTGAATGATTTTGAAATATTGAGCTTCAAAGCTTTTGCATTTCAAATAGCAATCAATATGTGTGTAACAGTTCTATTTCATACATTAACATGACAGAGACCCTAAATGTACTCTAAATGTAAATTATCCACATTCTGTGTTCAGCATATATGAGTACACCCTGCACAAATCTATCTTTTCAATTCAGATATTAATAGGAGGCTATACAATATTATAATTGTGCATATACATAAGCTTAGTCAGTACTGAAACTAAATCTGGAGCTTATCTAACAAAATAACTTACGATACCGGTCTTAGTACACCCAAATTTATGTTATAGAAAAATATTTAAACCAAATTTTAAAATAAAAAGGAAAAATCAAGAGAAGCATAAAAAAATACAACATTGAGTTAAAATTTTGTTGGTTGTATTTATTTTTGCAATATTTAACTTGAATTTAATTTTATTATCTTTCAATTTTTAAATATGTTTGGTGACTAAAATATAATTGTAATAAATATATAAGTTTATTTATCTGTTTTGTTTAAATGCATCAAAATACATTGCCTATATTCACTGAGAAATGGATGCATTCATTTTCAAAATGGGGTATATGCGATTATGCTGAGCACTGCATACATTTTTGACTTTACATAAAAAAGTGAGTAAACCCATTGACTTAATATTAATAACTAAATCAACTGTATGCATAATTTTAAAAAAATAAATCAGCTAAAGTTTCGAGTACAATGGGATTACTCACTTTTTTAAGTAGTCAACAAAGCACTTTTTACAGTGTATCTGTAAGTATTTGTGCCTTTTGCATCAAAGGGCTCTTCTGAAAAAATTTGAGCTGCTTCTATAATTAATCAAATGTTTATAATAATATCTTGTTTCTAATCATAGTATTCAGTCTGGACTTGAGTTTTTTACTTGTGGAATTGTTGTGTGCTGGCTCCCTTACTGTAGTTTAGTTTACACAGTGGTAGAAGGATCTGTGGTGAGCTGAGCAGTGTTATTTGAGGACATATATAGATATGTGAGGTTTGTGATGTAGATTAAGATTCCAGTTGGTTCATGACACTGTAACTTAAGAGAAAAAGCAAATGCATGAATGAACACTTATAAGCTGAGCACTTATTCTTTTAGCCACGTTCTTGCTAATATGTGCCATAAGTGAGCAGATTTGATGGAATGGTGGGGCATTATAAAGATATTTTTTTGTTTGGAGTGCCTGGTATGGATTGCTGAAGTGCTTGTAAAGCTCCATACGAGGTTTCCATCGATTCCCTCGACACTGAGTAGGCAAAACGCGACACACATTATGACGGCTGGCCTCATATCTTCAGCCAGCCTAACATAATCACAGCTTTCATTCCAGCATGGCTCTGCTAAGGAGAGCGCCTCCATATCTTACTGTTGTGTTCTTGACACTTAATTATTGATGAGGTCTTATGCAAGATGATTGCATATTCTTACGACATTTCCCATTTCAGTTTGGCTTGTCCTTAAGGACTGCATTTAAAATTGATTCCCGCACAAAGTGAATTTTAGAGAAGGGAAACTTTTCAGGTGGTGTGACTGCAGAGCAAGGTTATTTTAGTAAATCAAAATTAAAAGTAAGACTGGAACTACTGGTCAAAAAAAATGTGTGAAACTCAAATAAAAAAGTACATAAATGAAAAACTAAATTAAACTAACAACAATCACTGAACAACTAACTGAAAAAATAACAAAAGTAACAATTATTTTAGAGTTAATAAGCACCTGTTCTTTGGTGGAAAATCTGAACTTGACTGTTTAGAGAAGTACATGTAGATGGCAGATAAACACATAGGGCCCTATCATACACCTGGCGATGCAATTCGCAATGATGCGAACGATGCAATTGTTGTTTGCTAGTTTCAGCTCGGCGCAGGAGTCGTTTTGACATTTTGTACCATGCTGTTTAAATAGAAAATGCATTTGCGCTCATATGTGTGCCCATAGGCGTTCTGATCTAAAAAAGCAGGCGTGTTTTGGCGCGTTGCTATTTTGCGAAACTACAGTAGTCTGTTCTTTAGACCAGAACAAAGCCGGTCTAAAGTCCAGCACAGAGCGAATTAGTTGTGCGCCTCGCTCACACACTGCTTAATGCACACAAGATGTAGAGCAATACGGAAATATCTTTACACATGAAAAAGAATTAAAATATTAAGGATATATATATATATATATATATATATATATATATATATATATATATATATATATATATATATATATATATATATATATATATATATATATATATATATATATAGGATATAATAAGGATATATATATAGGATATAAATATAATGGATTAAAATATTACAAAACATATTATGTTCAAGCCTAAATAAATATGAAAAACCACTGCCTTCATGCCTTCTTCATCTCGGGAGGCTTTTTCATTTCATTCAATTTGCTTTTGTATAATGTTATTATTATTAGCAGTATTATTTATTATATCCATATTTATATTTATATTTATTAAAAACAAGCTTAGATTTGCCCACCTGTTGGCATATGGGGCACAGCATGTGTATTAGGATATAACTCAGGTTTTTGACCACACTTCGTTATTATTGTTCATTTATTTGTTTGCTGGAAATTAGAACTGAATTTAGAAATAGTTTTAAAAGAACTCTAATTTTCAAGTTTTGTGTCACATTGTTTTAATAGCAAATCCATTTAAGCCACTTTGTGAACTCATGGTTGTTCCGGTCTTAAAAGGAGGTGTGTCTATTGTTGGTGCGTTGCAATTTTGAGGAACTGAAATAGACCGCGCCATTGACCAACTGAAAGCTGAATGCATTAGTTATGTGCCTATGCAGGTCCAAAACACTTACACATTGATTAATACACACAGAATATACACCAATACGCAAATATCTTTATACATGAAAAATAAATTAAACATTAAAATGTTACAAAAATTCTTATTTTTAATTCTACCTACATGCCTTCTTCATGTCGAGGGGCTTTTTTTAGTTTATTCATGACAATATGCATTTTTATTATGTTATTATTATTAGCAGTGTTTTTTATTATATGCATATTTGTATTTGTTTTGACGGATGCATCACCAAATGGGGCATAAGAATACCACGTGTGTTTGGATGTAACTCAGTTTTTTTTTTACCACACTTCATTATTATTGTTCATTTATTCGTTTGTTGGAAATTAGAACTGAATTTAAGAATAGTTTTTAAACAAATCTTTGCGCTTAACAAGCAAAATTAATATGTAGTCTAATGGATGTCTTTAGTGGAGTGAGTACAACATCTTTATCCACGAAAGTAAAGGAGTAAAGAGTAAAAATAAAGCAAAGAGAAAGTAAAGATCCTGAATGGAAGAGGCTTGTTCTTTATCCTTTTGCTGCAGATGGTCTGTTAATCTGTTTTCTCGCTATTGAAGCGTTTAGTTTTTCCACTTACAAAGTCCGCCATGTAAATAGCAAATGAGTAAAACTTACTCCTAAAGGGAATGGGAGATGAGACTCTGATTGGTTTTTTTGCACCCATAACTCATTAAGACATCCCTGTTAGACTGTACGCCATGGCGCAGAGCATATTTACTTAGAAATATCTTTTCTAAAAAAACAAATCATTTCTTAATTAGAGAAAAAACTAAAATAAAGGTGAACTTAACACATTTAACTACATACATGATCTGTAATATGAAGAGGTTGGACTTAATTCTTTATCATTTTGCATTTGTAGGGTTTTGCATTCAGTGTTTGTTAAAACTAGTATTTTATTTTTTATTATTACGAGGTTTACACAAGAGTTAATATAAGCCGTGCAAACATTAAACTTGCTTTGGTCGAAATTGAACATGTTCTGTTAACTCAGCTGAACTAATATACTGAAACTAATATAATAATACTGAAATATATAGAATATAGAATAATATTTAAATATATAGAAATTAAATAAAAATGTGCTCACAAAATAAAATCTAACCAAACCATAAATTAAACAAACTAAACTGAAATGAACAACAAATGCAAAATTGGAAACAAAAATAAATACGAATTTAAAAATGTGAAACTATAATAAGCTTGCTGCAGATGTATTTGTACCCTGTGATATTTGGATGATTTATATTTATACTTTGCTGCGTATTTAAGCATTTAAAGGAGAGTTTTAGAAACAGAAGTACAACACAATGAGAGTTTTGTTGACAAAAAGATATTGGGGAGCAGAATCCTGCTAAATGACCCTATTATGATATCTGGAAATGAGCTTACAGATAGTGTGTAGTATAGCAGTTTGTGCATGTAAAATATCATCAACCATAATTTGAATTATATTCTCCCAGAAGAAAGAACCAGTTATTTCTTTCACAAAGCTTTGTAATAAATTTGCATAACATCTGCTTTGCTTCTCAAACACTGTGGTTCCATTCCGACTGAATCTGGCAGCGTTTAGTTTTGTGTTGTTGACATGTCTAGGAGAGGCTGTTTTCTCCATTACAAAAGCAAATCCAGTTTGCATGCCCTTCCAAAGGATTTGGAATTGTGCTCGAATGGACACAGTAACATTATGGCAATGTTATTGTCCAATGCTGTGTTTCCATGTGCTGAAAAAGCCATCAGAGCTGAAATTTAGAGGGAATAATGGACATTTGGTTGATTTAGATCAATCACAACAGACTGGGTCAGCTGATTTGAATGTTATCACTCGATTGAATGGGTGTTATCAGTGCTTATGAACTGATAGATATGGGCCAGTAGGCTTTTGTCATCCATCCACGTGGTTAATCAACTATAGATCACATACAGAAGTTAACAAGGAATTATTTATTAAATTTCCAATTAGTTATATTTTATTAACGTCTACCCCTATCCCAATCCTAAACCCAACCGTCACAACAATGTAAAAACAGATCTCAATCTGGAGTCTATTAGTATAGCTGATTAACCATGTGGATGGATGATAACAGCCTTCTAAGCCTACCAGTAGGCTCAGAAGGCCCCTACTGGCCCATATCTATCAGCTGATAACCACTGCTAATGCCCATTCAATCGAATGATAATATTCAAAGCAGGTAGACTGGGTCATCCAACCAATCACATCAGAGTAGGCTGTTGGAAAGGCAGGTTTAGAAAGAAGGATTTTACTGTATGATGATATATGCGCAATATCACATTAGTAGCAGTGCCATGTGGCTGTATGTCGGCACTGGTGGAAGGCTTGCGTGCATTAGTGTCCCATCAGGGATGATATACAGCCACATCGCACTGCTACAAGTGTGATGATGCATTTATTCAACAGTTTGACTGCAGAATCATGTGTATAATAAAAAAGAAAATCAAACACAGAGAGTCTCAAAACCTTTTTGTATGAGGAACTACATTCTTCTGCCATTTCTTCACATCTGCAGCTGACGTCAGAACAGCAGAAATCGTTTCTCATTCGCTAACTTCACTTTAGAGCTAGTATTTGAATGATTCTCTAGTGTAATGTCTAAAGTGATGACAAAACAGCTGTTTTTGCTGACATTTTAAGATTATAAGGCTGAACGGCATGAAATGCCATCAGTCTACAGACATATCTCCCAGTATTTCTCTGTTGCAATCGGGAGATCACAATATTACCATAGTATAAATAAAGCACTACAACATACAAAATAGAGAGATCGACTTAGAAAGTCATTTACCTCTTTAAAAATTATTTGATCAGCTGTAGTTTGAAATTACGCTGTTTCTCTCTTAGGGCTTATTATGCTGTCTTTGTCACCATCTTGTGAATGAACATCAGCAACCCTCTTTGCTCAAAGGCAGACTAATGGCCGCCGATGCGCTGTCTCCCAGAAATTATAAATATTTTAAAACAGGCAGTATCATTATAAATAAACTGCATAGTTGCAATCTAAACAACTACATTCTCACCTACAAAAAGTCTCAAAAGTACTTTATATTGCCCAGCAGCAGCAATGTTTGTCAAACTGTAGAGTGTCCTCTGCTTGTAGCTGCATGTGGGCGTACACAAGGGTGAAGATTGAAGAGGCTGAACGAGTGCTGTTATTTGAAGAATATTACACGGCTACCAGACAGAAATGTTGTATAAAATTTTATAATTAGAAATTTATTTTCTTTTTTTTCTTTCTTTTTTTTTAAACCTATTGTACAAGGTCTCTCAAACAAAATGATTAGCTTTTAAAAGAGCATAATTTGGGCAATTATTAAGGATTTATTTTGATTAGATTATTCATGGGTTTTGATCTTGGTGGTGAATGTAGAGATTTGATGGACTTTTTCTTTGCACCAATGAATAACTTTTAAATAAGATCAGGAATGTGTACTACAGTAAGTCAAATTAAAAAAAAAGAAATTTCTTTTATCATTAACTCATGTTGTTTCATGTCAAACACAAAAGACAAGTTGCAGTAAGCACATCTTTGAAACCCAAAATAGATAAAAACACCATAAAAACAAATAGATATTTATGTAGAAAACAGCAACATGAGAGTAAATCATTAAAGAATTTTCAGTCATTTTCGCAGAGCTATCAGATAATATTAGTACACAGTGTCATCTTAGCTTTTTCTTTTCTCCTAATAGATGAATTCACAAAAATAAACACTCCTCGCCCTCTCTCTTTCTATCTCTCTCCTCTCTCTGAAGTGTGTGTATATGACGTGGTTCTCTCTCTCTCCTGCAGATGGAGGTAGTGAGTACGTTCAAGAGAAGTGGTTCGTTTCAGGGTGCAGTGAGACGTCGCTCCTCAGTGCTCAGCCAGCTCCATGACGTAACCAATATTTCTACCCCCACTCATGTAGTTCTCTCCACTGCCAATGCAAGCGCCGCTCCTGGGAGTGAGTTCCCTGCTTTCCCTACATGTGTTTAGACACCACATTCACAATGACAAAAACACAAACACTCAGACATGCACCCAGCACCGCTCCTTACACACAGCAGCACATGCAACATCTCAGCGTGTGTGCCGTGGTTCTTCTGTCCTGCATTTGAAACCTTCTCTGTAGTCGTCTGTTGTTGTGATTGAGTGGCACTTGGCCTGCTTTGACTGACCCTCTATGGGCTGCCGTTTGTCCCTCTTTTTCCTTCTTTCGATTTCTGTGTGCTGTCTTGTCGTGTCGGGCCTTTTCTCTTGCTGTTGGGTTCCTCTTTGTTGTCTGAAGGTGTTGGTTTTGTTTTCCAAATACCCTTTTCTCAATAAGCCAATCTCTTGTTTTCTCTCTGGCCAAAAGTAATTACTTGCAAACATGAACTAAAACATTAGATTTTAAAGCTGAAGTGTTTGCTTTTTTTAAATTCAATGACTTTACAATGATGTAGATTAAGTCAAAGCAGCTTAACATAGATGAAGAAAAGAGAATAAAAGCCATAACATTATTTCACCTTGTGGAACATTACATTTTTCAACAAATTGAATTAAAATTGAATTAAATTTGTCATTAAATTAAAAAGTAATCAGATTTCCTGAACATGTACCGCTGCTTGACTAATTTTAATTCATTCATTCATTCATTCATTCATTCATTTATTCATTCATTTATTCTTTCATTCATTTATTCATTCATGCATTAATTAATTAATTAATTTATTAATTAATTAATTTATTTATTTATTTGTGTATTTATTTGTTTGTTTGTTTATTCATTTATTTATTTAATATTTATTTATTCATTTAATATTTATTTATTTATTCATTTATTTATTTATTCATTCATTTATTCATTTATTTAATTATTTATTTTTTCACTTATTTATTTATTTCTTTATTCATTTATTCATTCCGTATTTATTTATTTATTTGATATTTATCTATTTATTTGTTTATTCATGTATTTATTTATTCATTAATTTATTTAATATTTATTTAGTTTTTTATTTATCTAATTGTTTTTTCATTAATTTATTTATTCATTCATTTATTCATTTATTTAATATTTATTTATTCATTCATTTATTTATTTGTTAATATATTTATTCTTTATGTATCTGTTCATTCATGTATTTATTTGTTTTTTCATTTATGTATGTATTAATTTATTCATTCATTTGTTTATTTCTTTATTTATTTATTCATTCATTTGTTTATTCATTTATTTAATATTATTTAATATTTAATATATATTTTATTCATTAGGTAATATTGTGTTGTATTAGTATCAGATACTATGATTTTAGTTTATTTATTTATTAATTAATTCATTTATTTATTTATAAGTGTAATTTTGTCATTTTTATTACTTTATTTATAATCTTACTTTATTTTATAATCTTATAATTGTATATACATGTATATACAAGTATTAGTTTGAATTATTTCACTAAATCTAGATAAATTAAAAGAAAAATAAGACATTTTATTTAGTAATATAACCCTGCAGTAAAGACAAGGTATTTATTTATTGAATAACCTGAAAATGAGTCTTATATAGACCATTTCAATGTGGTGATGCCATTGGCCCATGAACATTTTCTGTTTATTTTCAATTTATTTCATATCTGTAAAAAAAAAAAAAAAAAAAAGGCAATCAAATCTTTACATTTAAAACAGCTATCATAACATTATTTATCAATATGTCAAGCTTTTTGAATTCATGGAAGCTATGCATTTTTGAAATGTACAACAGGAAATATGTTTGGGCTATTCTCATTGTTTACATCTTTCAAAATGGTCTAGATTTTTTAATGTCAAAAAAATACACACTTCAGCTTTAAAATATATTCCTAAAGATATTCTTATTGCATTTGTTTGGATATCGGAATATTATGTAAGATATTATATTAAAACATCAAATATTATATATAAGACATGACTTTATTTTGTATTTAAAGTGAAAAATAGTTTGAATCATTTCTTAAAACTAAAAAAGATCCCGCACTATTGCAAAAATGTCTAGAGCTGGTTGCTCCACTAGTAAGCCTGTATTTAAATGTGAATTGAGTTCACAAATCCTCAGAGAGAATACAGAGAGAACACGGCACTCACTTATTTTTCGAGAGGCTTCTGTTGACTAGTCAAGCGTGGTTTTCTAAAAGATGAGGTTTTACACTAAGCAGAGGTATTCAATGTGCTGCACTGCTATGGCTTTTGAGCCTAAACAGGGGTAAACCTTCGAGTATAAAGCCCTATAAGGTTCTTCTCCCTCTGACACTTCTCTCTGTCTCTGTCCCTCTTTCATTCTCTTTCCTCTCTTAGTCTTTCCAGATAATGCATCTTGTGTTTTTCTTCATGAGACTGTCTGAAAGCGTCCTCTAATGTCTCTGTGCTACTGACTGCGTCCCCCTTCCACAGATCCTCACAGTCTTTTTCTCTGTCCCATGGTTTCAAATCTATTTTTACCTGTCTCATGTTCTCTCCTCTGTAGGCATCTACTAAACTCTTCTAAACTAACAAACAGTCTTTCATTTCTGTGTCAAACCTAGTCTTAGAAATAATACTTTCCAGGAATGAAATCAAGGGTTCAAAATAAGTTCAGCTCTATTGATAGCATCAGTGTCACGGTGTTGAAAATAATAACTCGGCTGTCAGTTTCTAAAGACACGCAGATGCTCTCAATAGAACAAAATTAGAATTCAGTGCCAAAAATACATTAATTCATCCGTCTTTCATCTGTGGAACATAAAAGATGTTTTGTGGAATGTTAGTGCTGCTCTTTCATACATTGGAAGCAGATGGGACCAAAAAAACAACAACCTAAAAGCATTGTGAAACTTATATTTAATCCGTTTGTGAAGGCCACAGAGCATCATTTAGATTACAAAGTAATTTTACGGTCACCATTTACTTTCATAGAGCAAACAATAGTTTGTACTTTAAATGTAGTTATAAAATTGTGCTTTGATGTTCTACAGAAGAAAAAAGGTTATATGTGTTTATAATGACACAAGGTCAAAAATACATTAATTTTTCCGGCTTTCATCTGTGGAATATGAAAGAAGATGTTTTGTAGAATGTTGTCGCTGCTCTTTTCTACAATGAGAGCAGATGGGACCAAAAAAACACCCTTAAAGCATTATGAAATTAATTTTTAATTGGTTTTTGAAGCATCATTTACAATACAAAGTACTTTTCCGGTCACCATTCACTTTCATAGGGAAAACAATAGTTTGTACTTTTAAATTTAGTTATAAATTTGTGCTTTTATGTTCCACAGAAGAAAAAGTTAATACATGTTTATAATGGCACGAGGCCAAATATACATTTATTCATCCGTCTTTCATCTGTGGAACATGAAAGAAGATGTTTTGTAGAATGTTCTCACTGCTCTTTTCTACAATGGGAGCAGATGGGACCCAAAAAAAAGCAACCTAAAAGCACTATGAAAAATTTTTTTAATACCTTTGTGAAGCATCATATACATTACAAAGTACTTTTACGGTCACCATTCACTTTCATAGAGAAAACAATGGTTTGTATTTTGTATTTAGTAATAATTTTGATGTTCCACAGAAGCAAAAGGTTATACGTGTTTATAATGACACAAGGCCAAAAATACATTCGTTCATCTGCCTTTCATCTGTGGAACATGAAAGAAGATGTTTTGTAGAATGTTGGATCTGCTCTTTTCTACAATGGGAGCAGATGGGACCAAAAAAAAAAAAAAAAAAAAACCTTAAAGCATTACGAAACCTTAATACTTTAGCGAAGCATCATTTAGATTACAAACTACTTTACTGTCAACATTCACTTTCTTGAGGAAATCAATAGTTTGTACTTTAGATTTAGTAATAAATTTATGCTTTTATGTTCCACAGAAGAAAAAAAGTTAAACATGTTTAGAATGACATGAGGGTGAGTAAATCATGACATGATCATTTAATCCAAAATCATTTTCTCATTTAACTTGTTTTGAACCCAACATGTTGCTTTTATAAGCAGAACTTAAAGGACTTGTATAGTTTGTTTAGTTGTATAGTAATGTATAGTTGCATGTTTTCCTTTTTGGGGAATAGAAGACTAACCACTTCTTTATCAAAACTTATAGTTTTCTCCATCTTTGTGATAGTTTTTTGTTTCAGGCTATACATATTACAATGACACATCATGTATTTCATTGCGGCTGACTGCTCTGTTGTGCTTCATGTTTATCTGTGCATTTGTCATCACTTTCTTCACTCCACATGGACGCATGTGGAGGAAATAAGCCACTCCACTCACATTAGCATTTTTCCAGCTTTAAACATCTCTTATGTTTTGTTTCCTCACACTATTTGTTTTTCTTTTTGGACCAAAAATGAATCATTCTCTCAACTTCATTTTAGAAGTAGAAGCACATGTAGTTGAAGTGTTGATATCCTTGCCTAAATGTAATGTTTTTGCTCATTTTTGATGTATATGATTATACATCATCGGTAAATATAGTTGAAAATCTCTCAAGAGAAGAAAACACTATATTCACGGCTCTTCTTCACAGCTTTCTCACATACACACTCACACACACACACACACACACACACACACACACACACACACACACACACACACACACAGATGTTTGTTTAAAAATATTTGACAGATCTACGGATCAAGTTTGTTTTCATTTTAGGTTTTGTAAGATGGCTTCGCATTGTAACCCAGAGGTTGAGAAAAAGCCAGTGCTGCCACTGATAGATTTCATGTTTATCTCGCTCATTTGTTCAAATATTTGCCTTGTACGGTAACGCTTCACTGCTTAGCACAGATGCTCACTATCAGTAAGAGAGTCGGTGGAATATATTTACTCATGTGGAGGAGTCTAAATGACTTCAATTTATTAAAGTTTTTTAGTTTTGATTACTACCATCTGATAAAAATAATCATATTCATAGTCTGTCACTGTGTGAATTCTCCCATCAGATTATA